TGCTTGTATTGCTCGATGGCTGATATGGCATCATCCAATCCCAGCATCACGTGGCCAAGGAACCAACCTGGTCAATTCCTCCCACCCCACATACAATACCAAAGCAATATCCATATTCATATCCATAAGAAGTCGTATGTATTGAAAGCAAGTTGCTACACGTAAATAAAACTGCTTCTATACATTGGCTATCTGCTGTCCACGTAATGAAGGCTGTAAGGCAAGTTGCTGCAAGTAAAGAACGCTGATTGAGGCAATGGAGTCAAAGACCTTGCTGGAATGGATGCTGTTATACTTGGTCGTGGCAGAGGAGTGTGCAAGAGCGTGTGTTGTGTCAAGAGACTCGTGTGTTGTAGAAGAGTGACAAGAAGGCTGTGAACACGCCATGGACTTGCCATTCAGTCAAAGACAATCGGATCAGGGCAGTTGTAGGATTGACATGATGGGTTGAAGCAGGACAATCGTTGGCAGGTGGTAGTTGTATACTTGAATGGGGCAACAGTTGAGGATGGGAGGAAGTGGGAGGAAGATTGGAGTGGAAGAGCTCCAAATTAATTAGATTCTTCTGATGCTTGGATGATGTTTCTGTGCTTGAGCGTTACCCAATCGAATCCTCTCGGATCAAGAAAGTTGAAGGATGGAGATGATGGGCTGGAGCAGGACAATCGTTCGTATGCATTGGATTGGGCAACAATGGAGAATGGGAGGAATGGGCTATCAAGTGGCAGTTTACAAATAACTTACCAATTTGATTCTTCTGATATTGGATGATGTTTCTGTGTTTGAGCATTTTTCAGTCAAATCTCATCGGATCAAGATAGTTGAATGATGGGCATGCCGGGCTGGAGCAGGACAATCGTTCGTATGCATTGGATTGGACAGCAACGGAGAATGGGAAGACTAAGGTTATTAGCTGGCATTTTGAACTATTCCTAAATAGTGTACAAGAATCATGCATCGCCTGTGCTGAATGACTCAAGTTACACAAACACGCCCTCTGCATCTTTTGCTCTATTATAGTTATACTACTTTACATTAAACAAAGACCACTTGTCATATAGCATCACGCTTACAAACATAAAGACGCCTGTATCTCCAAACTTTACAATCAAACGTGGGGTTTTTATTAGAGCAATGTGCTCGGCTTGGCCAACTGCACCTTGGGTGCCAGTTTCACGATCAAGCTTGCCAATCCCAGATTTCGCAATGTCGCCACCAGCCAAACTGGATCCAGGGGTGGTCGACCTCTTCGACGACGACGACCAAAAAATATTTTTTGGGCTGTTTGCGACATTGAACGCGAAACTTTCACACAAGGTGCAGTTGGCCAAGCCGAGCCCATTGCTCTAATAAAAACCCCACGTTTCATTGTAAAGTTTGGAGATACAGGCACGTTTATGTTTTACATATGCTGTAAGCATGATGCTATATGAATAGAAGTCGTTGTTCATTGTCAAGTAGTATGACTACAATAGAGCCAAAGATGCAGAGGGATGTGTCGTGTAACTTGAGTCAATCAGCACAGGCGATGCATGATTACTGGTACACTTTAGGAATAATGGGATGAATGCCAGCTAATAGCCCATTCATCCCATTCACCTTTTTTGCCAGTCCAATGCATGTGAACAATGCTCCTGCTCCAGGCGATCATTTCCATCATTCAAGTTTCTTGATCCGAGCCGATTTGACTGAGCTACGCCCAAACAGCAAACATGAAAATTCTTGAAAGACAGACCCTGCGAATGTCTCCGTCTTTCAAACTTTTGGACGCTCCCATTCAAAATCTTCGAATGAATCGTGAGGTCTTTATAAGAAAAAGTTGATCAGCATGCTCGAGAGCACCCTGCTGACCAATTTTCAAGTTGGAAGTGGGCAACTTCGGGGCGGTGGACCGTCCGCTCTTTTGTTCCCGTCATCCACTATTTGGCCCCTCCCGCATTCAAGACATTCTTAATGAAGTGTATGGTTTTTAAATGAATGAAGTTGATCAGCATGTCCCAGCGAACCTTCTGACAAAGTTTCAGGTTCGAGATGGGGAATCCCAAGGTAATGCATACTATTTCGATAAATCATGAGTCCGGTGCTGACCTGCTTCCCGATCTCCATAGTAAATTCCACCTTACACCCTCCCATCCAATATTTCAAATGAAACATGATGTCTTTTTTAGATCAGCATAATCAGCATGTCCAAGAGCACATTGTGTGAAAGTTTCAGGATCGACAGAGGAAATCTCAATATCAAGAATTGATGTACAGTGTTCATGCATTTATACAAGAGGTGTCCGATAGCTCAGCCTACTTTAATTTCCACTTCTTCCACTCTCAGCCCCTTGCCTCTCCCTCCCATTCTCAACTGTTGGTGCTTTCAAGTACATACAACTACCGCCTGCGAACGATTGTCCTGCTTCAGCCCATCATGTCAATCCTACGAATGTCTTGATCCAAGAGTCTTTGACCGAATGGCAAGTCCATGGCGTGTACACAGCCTGTTCACTCTACCACAACACACGACGCTCTGGATCCTTCTACCACGGCCAATCGTAACAACGTTCATTGCATTAGCTGCTATTGGCAAGGTCTTTACTCCGTTGTGTCAAGTTACTTGCAGCAACTTGCCTTACAGCTTTACTTCAAGTGAGCAGCAGATAGCCATTGCATAGAAGCAGCTTTATTTACGTGTAGCAACTTGTTCAATACATACATTATGCCTATGCCTATGGATATGGATATGGAAGGAATTGGATGTATATGGCGCATGGATAGAGAGTCTTTGTTCTTATGTATCCCTTGTCAGCTTTTCCATTGTGCTTGATGCTACCATCTTGAACGATTCGTGCAAGCCATTATCCTACTTTACACGCTATTCGATGGCAGCTACTATCATCATCCTTTGTGCAAACCACCATGCATATCATTCACCATCACGCCTCGACGTTCATCCATCCACTTTTGCACAATGCACACCCAAAGGATAGCAACTTCCCAATTGATGTATCATTTTCCCCCATCAGAGCAATTCGTTGTACCTTGCAGTCTATCTCTTGTGAGTGATGTTGGATTAAAGAGTTCCTTTATGAATATGAAGCGTCATGTTTTGTGAGTTAGATCTTGTATGATAAGCGATCATTTTATTAGTATATGGCAGGAGAGATGAATGACAGGATGGATGATGATTTATATGACAAAATGATATAGCATAAACATAGTCGCATTGATTTATCTACGCTTAGCTTGGATCTTGAAGCTGTTCTTTTTGACTGCTAGCGTAACAAATGATCGTCGTTCCTTTGCGTCTTCCATCTCTTGAGGAATTGGCTGGATATCATAAAGCTTGACAATATGGGCAATGGATAAGCGCATCTCTTGCTGTGCGAATGCTTTGCCAATGCAGTTTCTTGAGCTGAATACCAGTCATGATGAGCATATCATAAACCTAACATTAACATGCATGCACTTACCCAATACTGTAGGGGAAGAATGCACTGGTATCGGCAGGAATGGAAGATCCTTCAAGCCATCTCTCAGGGATAAACTTTGTGGGTTCAGGCCAATAGTCGGGGTTGAGATGGGCGTGGTAAGAGTTGCAGTGAACAACAGTCTATGTGTGGATCGATTTGTTCAGTCATTGAGATATCGCTCAAAATTGCATATACTCACTCCTTTTGGTACAACAAGGTTGCCACCCAACACGATATCACGATCAGCACGTCGTTCCATGCCATTGACACTAATGGGATCCAATCTCAAGGTCTCGTCGATAACAGCATTAAGATAAGGAAGGCTATAATACATAAATGTTGTCAAAAGAGATGTGGGGTATATGCAAGCAATTAGAGAAAACACTTACTGCTTCAATTGCTCGTGTTGGAAATACTTTTGACCGGGCTCCATGGGGATGGCATCGATTTCGGCACGCAATGCATCCAAAGTATGTGGGTTCTTCAACAACTCATAAATGGCGAATCCAGTGGTATTGCTTGTAGTTTCAGAACCAGCAATCAAAAATAAGACGGTCTCGTGAGCAATAGCTTCGGCAGTAAGGCGATCATCGGCTTCCTTTGCTTGTTGCGTATCGATCAAAATTTGAAGAATGTCATTGCGTCTTGCCTTTTCGCCTCCTTCAATACGCTCGATAATGATCTTTTTCATAAACTACAACATGGACATGGTAAATTAATCCCACGATGATAACAAGCTGAGTTCGCATTGCTACGTACTGCTTGCAATTCATGCACAGCTGACATCACATCACCAAGAGAAAACAATGCTTTGATGGTACCGAGGATGGGATGTGCGATGATCTAAGGGGCTCTTGTAAGAAAATGGCGTACGAAAAGCACATTGTAATGGTATCACGTACATAGGTACCCGTTTCCATTGTCTTGGTGATGTTCCTTGGCACGAGATGGTCATTGCCTTCGAGCATGTTGAATGTACGTCCAAAGGCAGTCTCACCAATGATATCCTGTACGAGTGTATTTTGAAGATCAGAACATGTGTGCTATTCCCATTTGCCGGTATCATGTCAAACCATGCGTACCAATGCAAGATATTGAAGCAACGCCCAAATATCGACGACGCCATAGTCACCAGATCCACGTGTCTTTTCAATGTCCTTATCCATACGACGCAAAAACGCTTCTGTCATATCGGTCATGTAGGGTTCCAATGAATTAAGGTACTTTACGGAAAAGGCAGGGGACACTACCCGTCTCTGTGGAAGGTTATGCAATTAAAATGAGGAGCGTTTCACAGATCGTATCATTTGTTGTGTTACCCGCTGCTTATGAAAATCCTTATTGATAGTGTTGAACATGTTGATTCCGCCATGCACTGCACAAATCGATCGACCTTGTTAGTATACTTCTCCTTTTTCTCGAAAAACAGTAGCACTTACAATGAAGGCGCTCATAGGCAGGACCCTTAGTGAGGTCATCTTTTTGAAGGACCTGCTTAAGCATCTCCTTGCTGGAAACGGATATATGCTTTGGGCCAATTCGCACAATTTGACCATATTCATTTTGCCATTTCATGAAAGAGCGATAGCTAAAGTTCAAGTCAGCATTATCAATGATGGAAGGGATTCTATACGCGGACTTGCCTTGTTCCAGGGGTTTTCTCCATTTTACCCGAGAAGCGAGCATCCACAAACTTCATAGCCAAAGGGCCTGGAATACCACTTAAGGGGCCAAGGAAGGCATCATAAAGTTTCTATCATGATGTATTATGTATTAGTGTTATTGATCTTTGGATGCACAAATCATGCCAATGATGCTTACGGAAGTGACAAGGTAGGTTGCTACAGAGATGGCTGCTACTGCACCCACTTTTTGCAAACGTTCACGGTTGTGGATCGTATCAGTGATATACTGAAGAGAGCTTTCAAAGGTGTTGACGATAGTTTCAGTGTCCATTAGGTCGTGTCAAAAAGTAAAAGTGGGAAAGAAGAAAGAAGTATAAATGGGATTCTCCGCGAAACTGGTCGGTTAAATTTACGGTGAGCAATGGCTGGGGCAATGTGATGCGGTGAGTTTTTCCCCAAAACGATGCAATTGACGCTTACAAAATCCCGCCTTCTCCCTGCTATAACCAACAGCGCCTCATTCCATTGTTCCTTTTTTTGTCCAAGGTGGCTATGAGTGGAAAATAGATGTGCTGTCAACAATGACGTGTATTACTCTATATATGCAAATGCTGCTTATTTGATGGCTACCCCACGTGTACCGCCATTGTCACAACAAAGCTCAGATCACTATATTCGCCACGAGTGATCGGTCCGTAGGTCGTGCCGAAATGCTTGACATAAGGGTCGTTTAGCTATATAGCGTATATATGCGGTATTCCACCGGATCAAATACAACCGCGTTGCCGTGTGTGGCGTTGCATACATCACGCATGTAGTCAACAGATCAAACAATAAAATGGTCATTCTTCAAGTGTACTGTAAAGCTGGGTGAATGTTTTATGATAATAAAGATTGCTGTTGTGAGTGAGTGTGAGTGTGAGTGTGTGAGCGTGTAGTTATAAAGGGCAAAAGGGAGCAAAATGTGAGTTTGGGGAATACGATAGGGGCCAATTAGATTGTATTACAGAACCAAGAGCGAGAGGACAAAGAGAAGAAATGATGCGCAGTGTTATATGATGACAAGTTGGGAGAGGGGGGAAAAAGTTGAGAGACAAGAAGAAAAAAGAAATCTAGACGTAACCCTTCTCTTGAAGGATGGCTCTGGTGTCGACAGGAATAGCATTCCACAGCTGTGATCGAGTAGCATCATCCACACCACCAAGGATAACCTTGAGACTGTTAACAACACGGCCAGTAAGTTCGGGTTGAAGAATATCAGCTGCGAGGACCTCAGTGAAAATCTTAACCAAGCTGGGAATGTTGGCGTTGTTTTGACCCAAGATGCTAGGATGGTTCTGCTCCAGCAATTCCAAGAGATAAGTGTATACGCTGATAGCTTCAAGTTCATCGTAAATGATGGGAAGGGATGCAAACCAAGCCGACAAAACTTCATCCAAAGCAAACTTGCTGCTGTTGTACTTGCAAATCTTGGATACGGCAGAGATGGCATTTTCAGTTACGAACACTACGCTTTCATCACGAGCGTTGGGTGCGTTAATGATACCAAAGAGTGCGTTGAGGGAACCAGCACACACATCAGCGTATTGAGGGCCACCAAATTGACCACACACACCAAGACCATAAGCAGCAGCTTGTCGAACTTCGGGAGCAGGATCTTGAAGAGCATTGACCATGCTTTGCATAAAGTAGTTGGAGTAATTGAAAGAGACAGGACCAAGGTATTCCACAAAGTCGTCAAAGATACATACAGCCCATTGGCGAGCAGCCATGCTGGGGTGGTTAAGGAATTGAACAACCAATGGCAGCAGCTTTTCAAAGTAGGGCAAGAAAACGGCTTGATGGGTCTTGAAGATGGCTTGGAAAGCACGTGCAAGTTCACTAAGAGCATCCTCCTCAGTGATCTCATCCTCCATAGCTTGTTCATCATCCTCAGGATCATATTCGCCATTTTGCTTCTCGGCTTCTTGCAAGGTCAAACGTTCAAGGTACATCTTGAGTTGACCCTCAGCAGCAGTAGTGAAGGCTTCGAGATGAGCGGGTTGCAAAGAGTTCTCACCAAGGACTTCAACACACTCGTAGAAAGTAGAGTACAATTGAGCGAGGAAAGTGATGTCGTCTTCCTTGTTCATAATGTTCATGACCTTTTCAAAGATAGTGTTCCACATGGTTTGCAATTCGTTGGGAGCGATATTGGCTTCCTTTGCATCACGAAGCAACAAGGGAATAAGGGCAGCTGCAGCATGACGTACACCATCGTGGAAGTAAAACTTGAGAAGAGGAAGTGCAATCTCCAAGACTTGAGGAACATAGGGCAAGAAACCAGCACCAAGATCACGTGCATAGCTCACAAGCATTTCAATGGCAGTGTGCTTTTCTTCAAGAACCGAGGTCTTGATACCAATTTGTTGGCCATTGATACCAACAAATTCCCAACCATCTTCGGAAGGATACTTAGCCTCAACATCCTCCTCCTCGGGATCAACAAAGGTGAATTCAGGAGTGACACGTGCGGATTGAAGAAGAGGTGGCATGATGTTGGGGAGATAAGGCAAAAAGTCTTGACCCATCATCTTGCACATACGGGCCCAAGCAGCAAGCAAGTAAGTGGTTTGAATATCATCGGGATCAGTCACCGATTGCTGGATCTCAGCCAAGATTTGGATAAAGTCTTGGGTGTAGGGAGCAAAACCTTCCTTGCCAATAGCGAGACCAATCAATGAAGCACATTCAATAGCACGACCACGCAAGAGGCGATATTGCTTATCAGTGGCACCACGCAAAATGTTGAGGAGGAGAGGCATGATCACGGAGTGATACTTGACAAACTTGTCTTCGGCAGAGTCGGCGACAGTGGCAATGGTGGTGATAGCTTGCTCTTGAACATACACCTTAGAGGTTTGAAGGAGAACCAACAAACGTTCAAAGATAGCATCAAGGTAAGGATCCAAAGTTGCCTTTTCAGCTTCCTCACAAAAGTTGACCATGGCAGCAGCAGCATGAGCTTGTACACGAGGTTGAGAGCTGTCATCCATAACAGGCAAAATGGAAGTGATAACAGCTTGGTGGAAGTTCTTTTGCAAGTAGGGAGCAAAATCGGTAGACATTTGACCAAGAGCATTGCAAGCAGCGTAACGAACACGTGGATGAGGATCCTTGAGGTAAGGCGTAACCATTTGGATAATGTTGCCAAGCTCAGGCTTCATGACCTTGACACATCCCTCAGCAATAGAAGAAATAGCCATCAAAGCACCACGACGTTGTTGCCATTCACCGGATTGAAGCATTTGAGGGATATATTGGAAAGCGACAGGAACGACACCCTTGCCACCAATGGTACGAGCGATTCTATCCAAGGTGCTTTCACCAACCACATAGTTCTCCTCGTTATCATCTTCATCGAGCTATAAGAATAAATTAGACTTTCTCGTCCATATTTTCTCCTTTGCCCTTCCCAATACTTACATCATCAGTGGTGTACCATGATTGATCATCCTCGATATCGGTAAGCATTTCCATAGCCACAGGAATGATCTCACTAGCAAAGTTCTCTTGCTTACGCACCATGCTGGTCTTGGCTTCAGCAAGGGTCAAGAGCAACTCCAAAGCAGTTTGACGAGTACGATCTTCAAAGGTCTTATCCTTGGCAATGTTCACCATGACGGATAACAAGTTGGGCAAAACAGGCTTGAAAAGAATAGGAGCGCTGTCAGCGAGTTCAATAAGCACCATCAAGCCATCGACCAAAGTTTGATCATCGTGAGAAGCGACAACAGGGCCAAGAGTCTATCACTTAAAGATTAATTACTGCTTTCTTTCCTCCACTTTTACTACTCTCTTATTACCTCGAGCATGTTGGGCATCAAAGCACCCATAGCCTTTTGCACTTGATCATCGGATTGAACAATGTAAGCAGCTGCAGCCTTCATTGATTCCAAGCGGACCTGAAAAATACAAAATCATGGGTTAGTTTTGCCTACACCAAAAAGACCCGGAGAAAAAAAGTGCAACTTACAGATTGGCTTTCGGCATCAGTAAGGCTGGTGAGGAAAACATTCTTGAGGGTATCGACATGCTGATCAGAAATCAAATCAGGGACAGAGGCAAAGATACGGAATGCGGATTCACGATGAGCAGCGCTGGGTGCTTGACTACATTCAAACAAGGCCTTGAGAAGTGCTTCCCATTTGACTATAAACCAATATTAGATACCATCACCATCCACACAACAACGCATACTCACCATTTGTTTCCAAATCCGTCTTTGCCACTTCAGCAATGGTATCGGCCACTTTGTGTCGAGTGCCTTGATCGGTTTCATTGGCGAGGGCCATCAAAAGAAGTTCCTTGACACTGTTTCTAGTGTTATCCTGGATCATTTCCCAAAGGCGAGCATCGGGATCAGTAGCCGAAGTGAACTGCTTGAAAGCAAGACGACGCAAAAGGACACTGCAATGCGAACGCAACTAGAGACATTGACCATCACCACCCACATGTTAATAAACATGGTTATCGTATCCAAACTCTTTTTTACCTGCACTTCAGGGTTCTGGGCAACGAATTGAGCCAATCCGACAAGCAAGAGATCTGGTTGTTGCTTAACCCATTGATCATTGAGCTGAGTCTCTGCGGCAGATCTATAGCGGACACGAACGGGAATAAGATACCGAGTCGATTTCTACGGCTCTTTTTTCTTCAAAGTTACCTCTGAGTATTATCAGGAGATAATAAGCTCGTCAGCACAGGTGCCAATTGCTGAAGGGCGTCCGCAGGAACTTCCATATTGAGCTTCGGGGGGGAAGTAAAACAAAGAGGTGAAGAGAGTTTTGTAAAAATGCGACCCAGCGCCTTAACCTTTCAAAAAGCCACAAGTTTTGTCACACCGACATCCTGCGCACGTGGCTACACTCTATACACGTGACTCCCATCTATGCATAACAATGAAATGGATAGCTGTCTTTAAAGGAACACCTTCCCCTTGGATCTCATTTATACAAGCATGCAAACGCACACACTTTTTATTGGTATCCATTCATAATAATAAAGAACTATCCACTTTTACAAAACACTTTGCCGGGTATAACAAATCCATGATCATCGTCCTTGGGATCCAATGCCACAAATGCAGGTGAAACGGTAAACATGACAATGCCTTCTGGATCACTTTTGCTCGATGGTTTCATCATCGTTTCATCAAAACGAGCCACACCTTCTTCAATGCTTGGGCAAAACACCTTGATTTCCTGTCCCTTCATGGCAAGATTGAGCTTGGCTGCACGAGACACAATGCTATCCACCTTTTTGCGTTGGCTATCGCCATCCTTGATACGAGGGTACATTTCTGATAGTTGATCGAGAATCGTGTCGACAATGGTAGCGAGGGCTTTATCCATGTTGGCCTTTTCATCATCACCAGGTTGTCTCACAACGAGTGCACTCACTTGTTGTCGTAGCCGATTCGCCCAATGTGAGTTGCGTTCCTCAATCCAATCGCTTAGTGTCTTAAAAGTGTCATTGATGGATACACCGGCATGAATAGGCTGATCAAAGAGCTCGCTGCGGAGAATTTCCATGACAAACTTTTCCGTAAATAGAGTAAGCACACCAGGGTCCAATCGTTCATCATCGCCGTCATGGCTTAAAAAGCATTGTCGAATATCATGTTCTCGATGCTGCCAACGTTTCAATACAAAAGCAGTGCCACCCGATCGATCCATCTTTGACTTGAGACCCATGCAAAAGTTGTTGAGTTGACTTGTCAAATGAGTGATCTCATATTGAATGGTTGATAGGTCGTCATCGGTAGGACGTATGCTGTGTAACCATGAGTCCAATGTCCTTAACATTCTTCATACCACCACCACCACCACCACCACCACCATTCACACACACACACACACAAACAACCCACCTGCGCACATGGTCATAGAATCGGCTCTCCATCTTTTTGTATTCAGTCTTCTTGGTCTCAAGCTCGGCCACCACCAAATTATAAGCTGATTCAAGACGTTCATATCTCCCAAGTTGGTCTTCCATAGCTTGCAATGCTTGCTCCTTCTCCTTACGCGTTGTCTCTTGTTCCTCGTTACGTTCTCTCTCCATCTTTTCAATAAATGCTTCTCGTTCACTGTGCAGCCGTTCCATTATCTCCTTGTGTATTTGAAGTGACTCGGTCAAGGTGTTGATGACAAGGTCCTTGTCGGAATCAGAGTCGCCTGCAATCTCGATAGGTCGAAGCGACTCTCCCTTCATGTCATAGTGCATGAGCTCATGAATGGAAAGGTGACGAGTGCTTGATGAAGAAAAAGAGTGGGATTCTCGTTCACTGAATGGCGTCGTGTCAGCTGTGGTCATGTTGAAAAAGAGCCAAGAAAAGAAGAGTGAGGAGGAGCATTATTAAAGTAGACGCCGATATCATAAGTATATATCAGTAAGGGGGATTGGAAAGGGATGCATTGCTTTGGTAGTCTCCTAACTGTTTTCACCCATTTATAAAACTGTGACACTCCTTGGTCATTGTTTATTGTTACTATTTACATACAAGCATTGGATGATGATGATTTACATGTTCTTTTCTTCACCCTCTTCCACAATTTGACGGACGACTTCTTCCTTCTTTGAAGTATTAAAAGCGCTCCTAATCATTTGAAATCAGCTATACTTTCTCCTTACTTCCATATTCATCATTACAAGTACTATTACTTACTCTAGTATTCCTTTCGAGGGTCTCTCAGCGGTACCGGTTTGAGATCCAGTGGGCGTGGTAAAGACATCGAATGCTATGTAGAAAATGAGTACCAGCAAGATAATAAAAAATGGCTCCTTCTCCCACTTACATTGAACAACATCGACCAATGGAATAGATTTATCTTTGCGCCATTTTGATACTTCTCCGGGATTGGTAAAGACAAAGAATTCTTGATCATTCTCGCTCTTGTAAACGACCTTGGTAGCTGACATTGTGTTGTTGTGTATTCTTCTTGTTGTTTAATAAGAAAACTATTGTCTTGGGGGAAGATTGTACTTGGATATTTATATTCTGTTTCATGCCGTTTGACGCATGAATGACATCACTTTGAAACAACACGCACTTTTTACACCGACAACCCATCATGGAATGCCCGATTTCTTTACGTTTCTTTACATGCCATACCATGATGCAATATCCTACTACTTCAAGCTCCTCATGAGACCACGCTATCATGCACAACCATATCCACTCAACATACTACTATGATCAATTCTGGAAAGCAAGGTCTTACACTATTCAAGAATTTCCGACACCAAAGACTTGGTTCGCGTTGTTTGCTGGCTTTGGCCACTCATTTTCGGAGAACCGACTATCGATGTCAACAGAAGCAACCTACCAAAATAAGTTAGGTGTGCATGACCATTGAATAGATTTCACGTTCCTACCATGGATCCATCAGGGGACTAAAAATCTGTATGATAGATTAGGCTTCAACCTCATCTACGCGTCTGCATCATGAATTAGGACATACCTATGTCACCTACAAGCGGTGGATTTATCAGCTGTTGACTTGACCACTTTATCAGATCGATCCATCATGACAACAACTCCCACGCCAACTCACATACAAAGAAGGCTGTTGTCACCCAACGCTATCATACGCTCTTTCTTTCTACTTGTATTCGTATCATCATCGACGACCTTTGGTAAGTCTCAAGGATAGTCCTTATGTGATTCCCAAAATGAGGGTACTCATGATGCATTCATCTTTGTTTTCATCTATTATGTATGTAGGTCACTTCTTTGCTTTACCTCTGGGTGTGCTCATTGCTGCGTAATGACATTTGACTGTGTTTCTTGATGGATCCTTGTGGTAGGTATAGCGATCTTTTCTATATCCCTCTTCGTTTATATATGGATACGTACATGTCATTAAAAGGATGCCTTGTACATTTATTAGCAAAACGTAACCACAATCTATGGGAAGTTTGGGACTCCTTTGTGGGTGATATCCATATCGCCTATCGTATAAGGACGTCATCCAACAAGATCGCGTCACTGCAAGGAGCTGCGGCAGCCATTGCAAGCAATCCTTCCCCCAAATCAGCTGCGCAAAACTCCCAGCTTGAAATTGAGAGCTACCTATGAAGATGACATGATAAGGAAACAATCGTTTGCCAATTGTAAGGATATTGGATCATTCTTCAAACGATAGCCGTTCTCAAGATCGCTAAAGCCAGCAGTTTTAGCAGGGAAAATCCAGCTGCAGCCAACTGTCCAAAAATGGCCGTGGTCCTTTTTAGGAAGTGGAGGCGGTGTTGAGGTGCCAGCGTTTGCTGGCGCTTTGCTGACGCTTCCCACCAAATATGGTAAACATGGAAATCTGTTGCCAGCGGCAGCTGCAGCCGGCCTTTTCAATCATGAGAACGGCTGATATCAGCAAGCAGTCAATGCAATGAAATGGTGGATCAATATACAACGCTGCCATTAGAGTCATACGTTCAAGAACTGGTAGCATTGACACACATCCTTATCATTTGCAAGAATCAGCACAGCACCATTGCCGAGAGGATATTTACGCATATGAAGATCAATATATGTACACATCACATACATGAACGATTTGGCAACCCCCAACCGTGAACGCGTCATTATAGCCTTGACCAATATGTATCGCAGTATGACCTACGGCGAAAGCGTATTATCATGGGCATCAATAATTTGTAAGTGTGGTACTTGCATTATGGTGATATAGCTAATTTTTCTGACTCTTGTCTTTTAAGGATCCAAAAGCTACCAACCTCACCTTTCAATGACTTGAGGTCCATATCAGAAATCGAACTGTGGAGCACGTACTTTGATCCGATGCTTTCCGTGTTGATCAGCGATTCCGTTAAGTTGATAGCGCCGAGCAACTTTGTCCAATTAAAGACCCCACGTTTGATTGTAAAGTTTAGAGATACAGGCACCTTTATATTTTATATATGCTGTAAGCGTGATGCTATACGAAAAGAGGTCTTTGTTCATTGTCAAGTAGTATGACTATAGCCAAAGATGCAGAGGGACGTGTTTGTGTAACTTGAGTCAGTCAGCACAGGGGATGCATGATACTTGTACACTGTTTAGGAATAGTTTCTAAAATGCCGGCTAATAGCCCATCCCTCCCAACCACCTTTGATGCCCAACCCAATGCATGTAATCGATAGTCCTGCTCCAGCCCATCATCTCCATCATTAAACTTTCTTGATCCGAGGAGATTTGACTGAAAAACGCTCAAACAAAGAAGTATCATTTATCATCAGCTCAACTCATTTTAATTTCCAGCTCTTCCACTCCCACGTTATCTTCTCTTCCTCCCATTCTCAACTGTTGCCCCATTCAAGTATACAACTACCACCTGCAAACGATGGTGCCGCTTCAACCCATCATGTCAATCCTACAACTCTCTTGATCCGATTGTCTTTGACTGAATGGCAGGTCCATGGCGTGTGCACCCCATTACAACACCCGCGTTCCTTGACACTCCACCTGCTCTTGTACAATCCTCGACCACAATCAAACGTAACAGCATTCATTGCAGCAGTTGCTATTAGCAAGGTTCTTTACTCCAATGGCTCAAGCTACATGCAGCAACCTGCCTTTGCAACCTTTTTCACGTCAACAGCGGATAGCCATTATATACAACAGCTTTATTTACATGTAGCAACTTGCTTCAATACATACGACGTCAATGGATATGGATATGGATATGGATACTGCCTTTCTTTGATGTATGAGATGGGAGCAATGAATGTATTGACCGGTTTGTTGGCCCATGCGTCATGTCTAGTTTGGATGACAGCACTTCAGCCACCAACTATGCCGCAATACAAGCAATCTTCTGCTGGTTGAGCTGCGATGGAAAATCACCCACAAGGAGAGAGAGCAAGGGCCACATGCAAAAGGAAGCATGTCAGCAGCAATCCTTGGGGGGTTGTTTCAAACAACGTATTGGGTCTGGAATGGTAATGGTGGATGGTTGGGTGCAAATGAAAATCATGGTGATTGTCGCACTGTCAGCAGTAACGTTGGATCATATCACATGGCTACGGCAGAGGATGTGATGGATTGGATTGGTATTGAGGAGAGGTCTTATACATATCTGAGCCATGAGTGATATTGGGATCTTGAGTCAATGCATGCAGCAGCTATTTTGCAATTATGGATGCATCATAATGCCATCAAGGCCAATTGTTTGAGACGTATGTGTGCCTCGGATGGCAGTCATGACTACGGCGACTATGATGGATGAAGACAACCATGACAAGGTAGCAAGAAGCATCATTCTTCGGATACTTGCTGTTATCTATGTAGCTTATTCCCTTCTTATTGTTGTTTGTGGATTATAAGTTAGACGATGAGATAATAAAGGTGGCTCTGTGATCGGTCTTGTAGTAAGGATAAGCACTCTATTTTTCATCTGGATCAAGCGCAATGATGATGCATCTCGCAAAGGCTACTACAGCAACTTAATGATTGATGTGGGCTGCTGTTCCACTACATGATTTCAACAACATTGTGTCTTAGTTGCAAGATAAAAGTAGAGACTTGGTTACATACACAACAATGCATGGAATGAAACTTGGTAATGATGACATCGATACACATACCACGACAACATTGATAGATAAGATGAGCACACCATAACAACATCACTTGGCTCATGGGTTATCATTTTCAATTACATACAAGATCAATCAAATGCTACTTGATATTGTAGTGCGTTGTATCAAACATGCAAAGACAAGAATAGATGTTTAATCCAAGAACATGGTTTATTGATTACAATACTAGAATAAACAAGTAGCTGTTGGTTTCCTGAAGCCAAGGCTAAAGTACTCACAGGGATGACCAACGAGAAGGTCGCTACTCAACCATCCCCAACCTCTACCTGTAGGCACCAATTCCAGGTCGACGAGGCCGCTTGTACATGCCACTTTAAGGTGCCGGGACTTGACGCGCCAAAACCTCGTTTGGAAGAAACCATGCTTGTGTCTTTGAGATAGAGAAAAGTGTAGCATGTTTTTGGTGAGCGAGAGCAAATAGGTGAAAGAATACTTATCTTCCCTCCTAGTTTCCTTCCAATGAATCCTTTGGCATTACCCAAACAAGAGCCACTTGTTGGTATCTTTGGATAGCGGTCTTTTATTAATGCACCCTGGACACTGCTACCGGTCTGCATTTCGTCCTCGGCCAAACGCCCATACAACACGCCGACACGTAGTGGGCAGCCAGTTTACGAGGAATGGCCAACATCCTTGCTACCTCCGTATCAAGATCTGCTGGGATTCATGGAAGCCTTGTGTGGAAACCGGGCTGGTGAGGGGCGGCAAAGAGTTTCCAATGCACACCATTAGGTCCCCCAAGTCGCTGCAAACAAGGCACGGTGAGCATTACAAGCAACGCAACGAAAAAATAGAAACAACTTACTTTGGCCAAAACATCGTGATAGTGAGAAAAGCACGCACGCCATGCGAGTCGATCGATTGAGTTGAGAGGGAAAAGGTGGAGGTTGCCAGGGTGATCCGCAGTAATTTGTCTCTCGTCGCGACGCAACGGAACTTCAAATTGAGCGGGGTCTCCATGGACCCCACACCTCATAATGGCTAAGGCGCCAGACTTTGATTTTCGCGGCTTGAGTCGGGAGCTTCCACACAACACCACTTGCCCCAAAAGTCATAACGTGTTGTTCTTGTATGGCTATGAGGAATATGGTTGCAGTAAAAGTATAGGTTATTGAGGAATAAAAGCATCGTTAATATACATCATCATCGTGTACTACTGGTATTATTGTTGATCCAGCATTTATTTCTTATTTGTATGCTAGACCCTGATAGAGCCAAACACGCAGACGGTTGTGTTTGTGTAACAAAGCCGAGAGAAGGATTTGAAGGGTCAATCCTATTGGGTAGCGAATGCATGATGGTGTCCATTTGATGCTTTTTAAGATGGCACTATGGTAGATCGATCTAAGCAATATTATTAAGAATGTATTCTTCCGTGAGAACTCGGCAACATCGGATGACAGAAGCAGCAAGGTTGATGGTAATGTTTTTGACGAGTGGGTGTCACGTGAACGACGCCAAGGATTCCAATGTTATGAGGAGAAAATGGTGAGCGAAGAAGGATGGTCGCTTGAACATTGCGAGTTGAGAGCTCATTATTGTGAGGATTGGTTGATGATGACTTTTAAGGGCGAGGCATGAATGATTGCATGATTCTTGACACTGACCTTGTATACTAGTGGTGGCTTCTGACGCTATTCTTTTCGCTTCATTTGGTATTCAACAAAATCATTTAATGGCCTTTGGCATAGGCTCTTTTCTTGAAGTATATTCTAGCAACTATATGAATGCGAAACATCTACAACCTCTTCAAAACGGTAAGACATTTCATCTTTACTCTTGCATCAGCATCAATTTTAAGTGGTTACGGCAGCGATTTTGATTGGCTGTGGATGGGCCTAATGCTGAAATCACTGCATAGCATGATGTCAAGAATGAAAGGAAGATTGTGTTTTGCAACAACTATGGAGATAGCATTGATAAGGAGCGTATGCATTAGCTTGAGGAATAATGACACTAGACCATGTACGTAGTTTTGGATTGTGTCGCCAAGCACCATGATGGTCGTGCGCTCGTGCGCTGTGCATCGTTTATGCGGAGTGATTAAAGTTCAATGTTGCACTATGCTTAGGATACCCATCTTGCTGGTTGTTGTGTACGTACCCATTTTCCAACCCTGTGAGTAGATTCTTGTGTGATGGATACCATTCACACCCTTTGATGTAATCTAATGGTTATAGTTGACGTGTTGACATATCATGGGAAGGACGAAGGTGAGAGTGTTCACGCGATACAAGTGGCACCGTGGATAACATGTGGGTACACAGGATCTGGGCACTAGCATCGGGATATACAGAAACAGTAAAAACGACAATTTTGTTGTTCTACTCCACCAGATCGACCTTGCAAGTGTCTGTGTCATTGTATACATCAGGCTGGATGCATGTTACATAAAAGAGAGAGAGCCAAGAATGTTGACGCAACAAGGCACGGCGATATCATGACGATGCTGCTGCATTGTAAGATTACTACTTTGCCCACATGGACGTGCTCCTTCCTTTGTTGTGTATATGTGCATGTGCAACCATTCTGGGAACACCCCCTCATCATAGATACATACACTTACGGAGAAAAGTGAGATGGGGGGCAAAAGGAGAGCTGCAGCTGTAAATGACGTGCAGAAAATAGAGGCGGGCTTGTTGTTTTGTTGGATGTCTCCTTGGCAACAGCAGCAGCAGCAGCACTACCAGTAGTAGTAGTAGTATTAGCAGCAGCAGCAAAGCAGTAGCAACAACAACAACAAATCCTATTGGCGGGAGGTTGTGATAAAGCATAAGGGAGAATAGGAAAAAGGAAGGGGCCCCGTTGTTGTGTAATGGGATTTGTGTATCCATTTGTACTAAGTACACTCTCTTTGACGATGACAGCTCTCTCTGAAATAATTGGCCTTGTGCTCAGTGTTCCAAAGACGATGGGCCACATGTCTCGTGCACTGCCGATCTTGATGAGCAGCTGCTGTGTGTGGTCATATGGGAAAAGAATGCAGCAGCAGCATTTTTGAGTATGACTATAAACTTGAACTTGGTGTACTCAAGTAGTAGTTATAGTAAAATGTGGGTTGTTGTAGCACGATCCAGGCCCTTTGTTCCCCCCTTTGTCTTTTTTTTTCTTTCTCATGCTGGTTGTGTGATGGCAGGGCAAAGCTGCGGACGAGCCATGCCGGTTTGCTCATCCCGCCGTTGTCACGGGGCCACTTTTTTTGATTGTTGTATGTGCGTTGCAGCATACCATCATTATCACTGCTATTGCTTACAGCTTGCTATTACTATTACCACCCACTCACACACACGTCTTCCCCAGCTAAGCTAATATTCACCCTTTCTTTTCTTTCTCTCGTTCTCTCGCTCTCTCTCTTTTCCTCCCTTTTTCTCTCTTCCTCTCTCTTTTATTTTACACACACTCTCACATTCACATTCACATTCACTCTGCCTCCTCCATTGTACATTGCAATTCCATCATGACACCAGCCGTCTCTAGCTGGCAGCCCCAAGACCAGAGCTTACACGATCTACTCATTCTACTGCGGGATGCATTTCGTTCCGACAATCGAGATCAGCTCATGCTGCAGCAGGTGGGTTGTAGTATAATGATACATGTATTGTTCTCTTTCACACACACACTAAATGTACTACTTTGATATAAAGCGCCTGGCATCGTTTAACCGAATTCCAGAATACAACTCGTACCTTGCACACATCCTTACTCGTATGCCACAACAGGAAGCGTACACACGGGCCATCGCGGGGCTTACGCTCAAGAACAATATCCGCTCGGTATTCAATGATATTCCGCTGCCTGTTCTTGATCATGTCAAAGCATGTTGCATGGAAACGCTTCACAACCCAGATCCTGATATCAGCGTACGAAGGACTGTTGCCTCTGTCATCACTGCCATTGTCACAAGAGCTCATCCACATAATTGCAACGACATTTTCAACCACTTGTTGGAGGTCCTTACCAATACTACTGATAATCCAATCGCAATCGAGGTAAGTATTCAACCTTGTTGTTGTTCTTGAACATAGTATACTTAGCCAATGGTTGTTGTTGTAGATGGGATTGGATACACTTGCCAAGATATGTGAAGATGCACCACAAGAAATGGGAACGCATGACATGCTTGATCAAATGATCCCAAGAGTTATCCATTTCGTTCGCCATGCCAACGATCCAAAATTGAGGGTACTAGCAATGACTGCCACCAACCAATTCATCGTCACCACGCCACCAGCACCAGCTCTTGTACGTCATATGGATGAATACCTTTCAGCACTTTTTGCCTTGGCTACCACCAAAAACACCAATGATGATACACGCCAACAGATTTGCCACGCTCTTGTCAGCATGCTGGAATCATGTCCTGAGCGATTACAATCGTGCATATCAAGTGTGATTGAATACATGGTGTATTGTACGCGCGATGATAATGAGACCATTGCATTGGAGGCCTGTGACTTTTGGATGGAGTATTGTAACCTTGTACGGTTGCGTGGACAACTGTTGCCTCATATGGATAACGTGGTTGCTGCACTCTTGAGTCGGATGGTGTATTCCGAAGCCGATTTGTTAATGATGGAAGATGACGACGTTGATGCTACCACTCCAGCCAATCAGCAGCTTATCGACCCATCCACTGTACCACCACCTCCTCCTCACATGGCACAAGATGACAGCAATAGTGCAACTGACAGTGCAGATGAAAACGCCATCGATCACCATGATGAGGACCAAGATGATGGAGACTTGGAGGATGATGAATTCTATTCCGAATGGACTTTACGCAAATGCAGCGCTGCTTCTCTTGACATGCTATCCACCACCTATGGTCCACCCGTGGTATCGGCACTGCTTCCACATCTCAATGGCCGCTTGACAAGTGATGATTGGAAAGAACGTGAAGGTGGCATTTTGGCGTTAGGCGCTGTAGCTGAAGGTATGGATGCTCATATCAAATCACTCTACAAGTTGTCTTTGTTAACATCCTAACAACAGGTGGTATGCAACATTTGGCACCCCATTTACCTGAAATGATTCCTTATCTTATCCAATGTTTGGAGGATCCAAAGGTAATTGAATGCAACGAGGGAAAAAGAGAGAGAGAGAAGAAGAAGAAGTAAAAGGAAGGATGGTGAGAGAGAAAGAAAGAGAAAGCGAATGAAAGGGAAAAAATGAGAAAGGGGAAAAAAGACAAAAGACAAAGAGTTGCCAAGTGATTGGTTCACGGCGATTGCCAAAGAAAAAGGAGCAAATGTTTACTTGTCGAAATGTAATAGCCTCTGGTCCGATCCATCACGTGTTGGGCGCTCGGCAGGTTTTCAGTGTGGTTTGTGGAGCAAGCTGCAACACCAGAAGGACGGCGTTCATTCTTTGAACCTTTGCTATTCAATTTGTTACGGCGCATCCTCGATCGTAATAAGCGTGTTCAAGAAGCAGCATGTTCAGCTCTTTCCACTCTCGAAGAAGAAGCCTCTATGGAGTTGGTGCCTTATCTGGAGCCCATCCTTGTCAATCTCACAACAGCCTTCCACACGTATCAACACAAGAACTTGTTGATTCTGTACGACGCTCTCGGAACATTGGCAGAATCCGTTGGAGCAGCTCTCAAGGAACCCAAATGCCTCTTTATCATGTTGCCACCCTTGATTGAAAAGTGGAATAGGCTTTCTGATCATGATGCTGCACTTTTTCCTTTGCTTGAGGTGAGCCTAGTAACAATGTACATAATGAGGCAAAACCAGTTTGCTAACGAACGAGAGGTGTGACGGGATGGTAGTGTCTTTCTTCCGTTACCACGGCACTCGGAACTGATTTTGCGCCCTACGCTGAGCCCGTGTTTACCCGGTGTGTCAAGCTTGTAGCCACCACCCTTCAACAAGTCTTTTTATCTGATCAAAATCCTGATGAATATGATCCACCTGATGTCGATTGTATTGTGGTGGCTCTTGGCTTGCTATCAGGCCTTGTTCAAGGTCTTGGCCATTTGGTGGAGCCTTTGATTGCCAACTCGAATCCCCCATTACTATCCTTACTAGCCGTATGCGTACATGTAAGTACATGTCCAATCAACTAAAAAAAGAACAATGTGCCTCACACGCACATACATGCGCATTGTTTATGTAGGATCCAGTGTCCGAAGTGCTGCAAGCAACAAATGCATTGATTGGTGATTTGGCCATGGCGTGCTTTGACAAGCTTCGAGCCTTTCTTCCTCCCATTTTGCCAGAGCTCATCAATCAAATCAGTGCTGATGCCGAATTTTCAGCTGCATCGATTAATGCAGTATGGGCTATTGGCGAAATTGCGTTAAGATGGGACCCTGCCGACATGCAACCCTTTGTGGAACCTATCCTCCATAAGCTTTTGCCACTGTTTATTCATCCAGAGATCCCTGAAGCATTACGAGAAAACATTAGCATCACTCTTGGTCGTCTTGGTTACGGTTGCCCGGAAATGATAGCACCCTATTTGGCTCAATTTCTTGATCCTTGGTTACATACATCATTGGCATTGCGTGAAGATACGGAAAAGGATACGGCCTTCCAAGGCTTATGCAAAATGGTCAAAATGTACCCACAAATTTTGGCAGCTGAAGTAAGGTGTCACTCGTATCACGTTTGAAGAACGTACACTGATTCAAGACATGTAGCAATTCTTTTTCTTGTTGCGAGTAATTGGCGGTTGGCAGAGACCATCCCAGCATTTGGAGCAATCATTCCGAGAGGTATGTATACATGTGTGTGTGCGAACGTTTTATGATTATTAAGCTGACTAATGTCGTATGGAAAAAGATCCTGGAAGGATACAAGAGCATGCTTCCCAAAGAACAATGGCAGCAAGTTTGGAACAATCTTCCTCAAGAACCTCAAAGGTCGTTGTCCCAACGATACAATTTGATGTTGTAGTTTTATACCACCTCCTCACAAAGTTACCCCTCTCATCTCTTGCTTGTTATAACCCTCTATCTATTATTACCCCTTGCTGTCATGTGTGTCTATTGTAATAACAAAATCTTATTCAATCGATTTTTGACTGCGGCGTTTACTATCATTATTGCCGCAGCAGAATGACATGTACCCAACTCGGCCAATGATCTCATTTTAGACATTTGACACCGCAGCACGTCCAATCTACCCCTTCATGCTGCGGTAGCAACAACTGCGGTAATTACATATAAATAGGGCAGCCCATTTGAAGTCATCAATTATTCATTATCTACTCATACCAATTCATTTTACCATCAACATGACAAAGACGTCGAACAACGAACCGCTCGTCTTGGCATTTGCCGAAACATTCCACCACCACAACAATGATCCAATTCCTGATTTGGATATGGACGCCATGTTCCCACCTTTATTGTCGTCTCGTCAACAACAACGAAGCACATCACTGTGCCACACCAACACAAACATTGGCACGTCAACATTCGTTCAAGTTGCATCCCATTGTGCTAGTCGACTCCATGCTCCTCTCAAACAATCCCAGTTTCGATCAGGACTTGAATCACAAAAGTACAACACTACCACCATGACACGCACACAAGCCAACGCCATCGGTCAAGTCAACGACAATGTAGATCCTTTATGGGAATACCATGCACGCAAAGAAGAAAACGTTCTCAAGACACTTCGAGATAATCGTCGTATGAAGCAACATAGACAAGAGCTCAGTGACAGGCTTTTGCGACGTTATGTGCGACTTGCTTGCAAGGATTACAATAACGACGAGGATGATATTTCAGATGATTCCCCCACTGCTATCAAGCTCAAACAAGAGGAACGACTCAATGAATTGCTGCAATCCTTGCCAAAACACTACTTTGCTCCAGGAAAAGATATGTCTCGCGTAGAATATGTTAAACATTTAATGTGCAATGTACAGGAATAAATATATATCTTGTGAGCAATCACTTTTCCAACAAAGAAAAAAGTACAACGTTTTAATCAATCTTGACATTTTGATATATCCTGCGTACAAAAAGCGTTGCTGCAGAATGTCCCACGAAGCCTAAATTTTGGTTTAGATGAGTATCGAGAAAGAGAATACATACATGTCCTTGTCAACTTACCTAGCATACAGAACATGCCCAATGCTATCAGCGCCGTATAACCAAAGTAAAAGCTCGTCTGAAACATGCCAGTCATCCTAAAGAAAAGTAATTAGGAGATCACACCCAATTGCTTGTCCATGTCAACTTACTTTGTCTTGGCGAAAAAGTAATATACAGAATAAAGATATACATAAAGAGAAGTCGATGCACATGTCATGAAGCTGAGCCAGTGCCTGATAAAGAAAAATGATTAGAATTGCTTATACGTAAGACCCGTTGATTACTTACCATCGATGATCCTCCGAGTTGAGAAGGAAATAGGTGCTTACAATGGCCACGCATGCACTGACAATGAGCAGGATAATGAAAACCAGCAACATGAAACCATAGACATAGTAAATCTTGTACGTCCAAAACGAGGTGAAGATAAAGTACATTTCGATAAAAATGGATCCAAATGGGAGAACACCACCCATAGCAATGATAACCATAGGTTCAGCATACCACACCTTGTCAGGGATGGGGCGTGGAATAGGATTGACCCGGCATGGGAAATCAGCCTTGCTACCCCAGTTGCGACCAATGATAGCACCAAGCAGTGTCAATGGGAAGCACAAGAAGATCCAAATTGCTGCCATGGCCAACTACATTGACTAAAATTAGCCGAACTTGCTTCATGAATCTTTTCAAAGCACACACTTACAATAATGGAAAATGCAATGGCACGCGAACTTGAGTAGTAAATGGCGACGCTGTTGATGTAACCACCGATAAGGAACACAGCTCCTGGCCAAATGGCAGCCGTAAGCAAGACATTACGCACCCAATCCTTGCCTTAATTATAAATGTTAGTTGCCGTCATTTCTTAGCAGCTCTCTTTCACTTACCACCATAACGAGCATAATAACGTGCACTCGTGTAACCAGCAACTCCTGATGTCAATGCGTAAAGGAAAATGGTGGCCGTCAAAATGGTAGCACGTTCTGCGTACAAGTCGCCCATGATGGTATAAAGGATCACAACACCTGACAAGATCACCAACTGGCATCCAGTACCCATCAACGCCGACATGAACATGAGCCGAGGAGGTTGTCTGAAAACATCACCATGTACTTGTTTCCATCCATAATCATCACCAAGATCCCGATCCTGATATCCATCATAATGAGCTTCATCTCATTTCCTCCCTCCCTTGGATACACTTACGAAATCATCCAATCCTTCCTCACGGTCATAGCGTGCATAGTCTCGTTTGATTGTGCGTAATAAAATAACAGATACTAGGCCCGTCAAGAATAGCACCATCATGAATGAGCTAAAGATGGATAACCAATGCACCTAATCATAACGTCTTAAAACTTGGATCCATTTTCCCATCTCTTTTGGCTATACCTTATGTTCAAAGAAATCGGTCTCCAAAAGACGTTGGAAGCGGTTATCAAAAGTAACATCGGTAGGTGTCCATTCGACTGAATAAGTAAACTCGATATCCATTGACTGTGGGCTGGTAGGTAATTCAACAGGGTTGCCATATTCCAATTTGACATGAATAATCTAGGGAGGGGTTTACATTAACAATGGGTCACTACCTCTTCTCCTTCTTTGCCCATATCCTACATACCCTGTCGTCATTGTATTCAATTGCAAAGTTCTTGTGAGTGTACAAGTAGGTGTGACTCCAACGTGGATCATGCCCAACATGGTCCTCATCATCGGTTCCTGCATCGTCAGTCACCATGCCCACTGGACCTCTTACTGGTAGATCATCTATGGCAATAAAAGAGGTTAGCATACCAATTTGACTCTTCATGATGGTATCTTCTTCTTCCTTACCAATAAACATTGTATACCAATAATCTTTGTGGATTGCATAAAGCATTGAAGGAACATCATAATCTTTGAAAGTCTTGCGGCAAATGAGGCCATGCTTGACTGGTTCTGTTATCGTGTGTGTGTGCGTGTGTATTAGCTTTCCATACCCTCATTACCATATAGGCAAGCCATTTACCTAAATATCGAATAGGAATACCAGAGTTGATAAGATCCATGCCTTGTAAGGCTTCACCCAAAGTTTCGTGGTGGTGTTCAACACTGCTCGTGCCTGGGCAGAAAGGAAGCTGATAATACGGGTATGTTTCTTGTCGATTGTTGAGTGGTCCTACAGTGTCCATCCAGGCCACGACTTCTTCGCCCTTGACGTACTACGTCGATGCATAATGGCGGTTTGAGTAAAAGAAGGGGGAGAGCAAGAACAAAGCGACCCATGACTGTAGATACCAACCACATGGTTATGTTCGTCCGCATGTACTGAGAGGGGCCATAGACAGGCTGTCAATGCAACGATCGCCGCGGCCAAATTACCAATCCGCTGCAGATTCATTGCTAAAGCGACGGCGAGGTATATATAGAGTGGAAAGGAGGGAGCAATAAAAAAAGAAGAGAGAGAAGGCGCGTAGTAGTATTGCCATGTCGGAATAGTCCAGAAATAGAACCCACTTGCTATGCCTGGAGACCATTGAGATAAACCCATCCTTTTATCCAATCATAGCAATAACCCTATCTATCTCCCAACAACATTCTTTCAAAACAACTATCGAATCTTTGCGTATATTGATTAGTTGCTATAAAATGACATCTATATTCTAGCGGTAGGGATGCTCAGATTGAAGGTTTCTATATAATAAAACGAATAAGGATCGATATACGCTATGTCAATCTCGTAATAACTTACCTAGCAATTTCAACCTCCCACTTGTCACCGTTTGCCAACAACTTTTCCTTGTTATAAAGCAATTCCTCGTGGGTCTCGGTAATGTACTCATAGTTAGCAGTCTCAACAATAGCATCAACTATAATAAAAAGCATGATGAGCCTCTCCCATATCATTTACCCTCAACTACCCATTTCATCTTACCTGGACAAGCTTCCTGGCAGAAACCACAGTAACTAGAGTGGGCCGAAAAAGAAAATTGATTAAAGATCATACGTAAAGGTCCACATGTGTATACTTACATGCACTTGGTCATGTCGATATCGTAACGAGTGGTGCGACGAGAACCATCCTCACGAGGTTCGGCTTCAATGGTGATAGCTTGAGCAGGGCAAATGGCTTCACAAAGCTTACAAGCAATGCAACGTTCCTCACCTATGTTTCACAAAGAGATGAATGAATAAACATCATGTTTCTGTTCCTGATGAATGTAGGTGATCTTTTTACCAGTAGGATAACGACGAAGAGCGTGCTCACCACGGAAACGAGGGGACAAGGGACCCTTTTCATAAGGATAAAAGATGGTGTAGGGAGGACGGAAGAACTGCTCCAAGACGACCCACATGCCTCGCATAAGTTCAGTAAGCAAAAGGTGACGAGCAGCCACATCGAGCACACCAGGTGCCTTGTAGTTGGTGGCCTTGTTGTTATCTTCGACAGGTGCAGCATGTCTGGCAATGGGCGAGCTGCTGAATCGGGCCATTTGGCTGGCAATAGGTGCACCCATGAAGCGCGTGGTGGTGCCAACAGCTACATTGGAATGGGTCTTGAATATACAATGTTCGTGTGTTTACTCTCTTTAAAAGTTACCTGCAGGACGACGAACAAATGTCGCAACAGGTCTCGCGAGTCTCAAGGCGTTCATTGAGAGTGGGGAGATTGTATAGTGAGTGGGGAGGTTTGTTTAAGCCGGAGACGGCACATACACACACGATACTCGAAAATACAACCACCCATTCCAGCGTGACTGGGGTCAATAGTAGTAGCAGTAGTAGTAATCCCATTGCCACACCATATCATCACCACCACCATTCCTCTCCTCCTCAAATTGCCAATTACTTTAGTTTTCCAATTATAGCACGATAACATTTCATTTCATACAATAAAGCTTGTCATCCTGTGAATCATATCACGTGATAGATAATTCGTCGATCAATGATCATTAAAAGATGCGTAGTAGTCAGTGCCACGTGATCAAACTGTATTGGAATCAAGCATTGACAGGGTTCCCTCGTATCATGTAAATGTCCAGCTACATTATCATTCTTCCAATTGACTCTTTTCGTTTATATATGTATGCTATCACCAAGATGAAAGATTCACTACTACGTAGCCATGATACGGTTGTCATTCTGGGTTAATAATAATACTCGCATTGATGTTGTCCACATAGGCATCGAGGACGCAACGGGTAGCAACATCCATCATTTTGGCTATGGTATCAAGGTTGGTGTTACGTGGTGTCATCTCCATCTGAAGTAAAGGTTTGTCGCGCATAGGCAATCTCACGTCATAGGTTATCTTAAGAGCTTGATTTGGTCCAAGAGGAAGATTTGTATCTGCAACCATAGTTTGAAGCGCTTTATCAATTTGATCCCTGGCAGCTTGTATATGATCGCCTCTATTATTGGGAGCCCCTTGTTCACCAAACGGCGCGTGTGGGTGTATCTTCAACTGCTGAAGCAACGCTTGTATGGGTAGTTCAGCAGTAGCTTGTTCGACAGTTTGGTTTTCAGCAGACATTGTAACGATGATGAGTTGTTAAAGGCAGCTAAAGAATGGAATTGACGACAACTTCCATAAAGCAGGTTTTTATACACCTCATTGGTATGTGAATTGATAAAGTGGATGTGATGTTGTCCATGCATGAATCAGCTGACATGACTAGATTAGGGCAGGTATAGCATTATCCATTATGAATAATGACATCGATTACTGTTTAACCCATCTCATGGTATCCTTGCTTTCAGCATTTATTGTATCCATCATCTCATTCTGTATGTATGATACCCACATCCCCCATCAGAAAATCCCCAATGGATCACACAAAAGATGGGTGTTTGGCATTGACAACAAATTGGCATGGTGTATTTTTATCAAAGGCAGCTGCTAATCCATCACATACATTTATTTCAAACATGTGTTCGGGTACAAGTGCTAATCTTATATCACGTGACCATTCCTTCTAGTAGCGTACGTAGGTCGTAACCAAGAAACTCGAGTCGTATACTAAGCAACCATTTCAAATTGGGTTGTTGCTACTGCTAAACCATGGGTTAGGTGTGGATTGCACTATAGAGCATGTGATGTGTGTGGGGTGGAGAGCTCCTTGTTGTTATTGGTGACCGACGTCACGAGAGTCGACCAAATTTTGGACCAGCAAGCCCAGCCAAAATAAGCTGTACCTCTTTTCTCTCTCTCGCACCATGTTGTCATTGCCTCGATTGGTCGGCAGGTCCATTGCACGGAAACCCATTGCTGCAGGTATATTATCAACATGCTGTTCTTGTTGTCATAATAGCGTCTCACGGTGCAATGTTGGATTTTAGCATGTGCTACTCGATTCTACGCTGCTGTTGACAACAACAAACGTTTTCGCCATGCCGAATTGAACGAGGACAGCATTCCACAACTCAACAAGGTCGATTCTATTCTTGATTTTGCCGAGACGAAGCCAAAGACACTTGATCAGGACAAGCTGTTCCCTTCACACCGTCCCACCGAAATGGTCTTGAATGCTGTCAACGACTTTGTGGATACGCCCTTGTCAACCGCCGAACAAATGCGACTTTTCAAAAAGGCCTTGGTGGTGAAGCGTGTTGTCAACATGAACGGCAAGGGCAAGCAACCCTCCATGTATGCTCTCGTGGTTGTAGGCAATGGCAAGGGTTTGGCTGGCTATGGTGAAGGCAAGGATGAGGAAGCGGCTCGTGCTGTCTTCAAGGCTACCAACAAGGCTATCAAGAACCTCCGTTACTTTGATCGTTATGATGATCGCACGATCCCCATGGATATTGAGCACAAGTTCCATGCTACTCGTCTTGAACTTAGAAGCCGACCTCCAGGTAAGAGATAGTTATATGGATAAGTGAAGAGTACATTTATTCATGATTCTCTTTTTTCTATATAGGATTTGGTTGCCGTGCCAACCACTACATTCACGAGATTTGTCGATGCATTGGTATCCAGGATTTGAGTGGCAAGGTGCGTGGATCACGAACGCCCATGAATGTTATCAAGGCTACTTTTGAAGCGCTATCGAACCAAAAGATGCCACAAGATATTGCAAAGATGCGTGGAAAGAAGGTGACCGATGTACAAGGCATATATTACGGTAGCCATTAGTTTAGATCATCTCCCTTTTTCATTGTTGTAAATACTATCTATCCGTTGCTTTAGACTTGGAACAAAAGGCAATTTGACATTTGTGTGCAGTTTGAGTTTGTACGTTGTACTACCTTGGGGGTTGGGGGAGCGAGAGAGAGAGAGAGCGAAAACGAGGCGAATCATCTTGCGGAGTATCCATAAAAGGATGGGCTGATTGGGTCCACACATACACACACCCGTTGCTAGTCATTCGCTTCTTTTTTCTACTGCTACTTTTGCCCTTTCACTCTCTCTCTTTTTCTTTCTTTTGCCCTGTACCTTCTCCTCCTCCCCTTGTCCTCCTCCCCTTATGAATACTGCTACCGTTTCTCGTACAGACAGCATTTTGGAAAACAAATCACCTCTTCTCAAAACCGAATCAGATAGCAACCGAATCAACATGACAGCAGCCCCAGCAACCAAACGACGTCTTTCCACCGAGCATGTTCCCGATAAAAGAAGCAAGTCTGAAACAACTACCACAGCAGCTTCTACACCTCCCAACAAGTCGAAAATGATGGTCAGCTCGGAACGTATTGTAAAGGCTTCAGAAACAACCTATCGACCCTGTATGTATTTATTGTTCAAAGGGGCAGGTACAAACAGCATGTGCTAATGAGCAACCCTTCCCAATCTAGATTTCACTGTGCAGAATGCCAACAACGACGGCAGCCAAGAAAAGGAATTGACCGTAACTTTGGAGTATCCTGGTGATAGTGAAAGGTAATTTTCGGGAAGAGAGAGTGTGTGTCATGGCAACGGTCTATTGATTGACACACTCGATGATTTTTAGATTCTTATTGGTTTGGCCCGTTGTTAAGAATGGATCGCATCAAGAAGAGGAGGATAAGGATGAGTACAATCCCATTACGGATCTAGTGCGCACAGTCTATTTCATCTACGATTGCTATCTTACGCCCGAGCAACAAAAGCTGTTGGGAGATGAGAGCCATGGGATTTTGCGTAACCTTAACAAGTACCGGAATCGACGTAACGGCGATGGATTTGTGCAAGCTGTGCAAGATTTCAACAAGGTGATTTCGGATCTCAAGGCGAAGGGGGAGCTCAGCAAGAATGCAAAGGCGCTCAAGCATCCTGGGTATGATCTTACATGCCACATTCTGTACCAAGTGTATAGTCGTACAGTGGCAAGGCAGGCAGAGGCACTTAATAATTATCAAGGTAAGGTACAATGAGGGATCGTCACAGCTAAGGGGAGGAGGTAAAAGGGGCAAGGGTGTGTGTGATTCGTATTGTTTCATATTTGGCTTAAAACTTACACTTTTTGGTTGGGTATAGCATTCTCAAACAATGTCTATGGCGAGATCAATCCTGTGCTTATCAACGAATTCATCTCCAAGACCAAGATCAATTCGCACAGTGTATTCATGGATATGGGCTGTGGTATTGGTAATGTGGTATTGCAAGTGGCAGCACAAACAGGATGCGAGGCTTATGGTATTGAGATTATGGATCTCCCATGCAAATGTGCCAAGCGACAACTGAAAGAATATGCAGCACGGATGAAGTAAGTAAATGGGTTGTTGTTGTTATTGTTATTGTTGGATATTGACATGTGATTTTAGGGCATGGCGACTTCCAACGGGCAAAATCCATTTTCGTCATGGTGATTTTCTGGACGTGGGCACAAGTGACTTGTACGCAACGCTGAAACGAGCCGATGTGTTGCTGGTGAACAATTATGCTTTCGACTGGCAAACAAATCACTCCTTGGCACAACTCTTTTTGGATCTCAAGGAAGGTACCAAGATCATTTCATTAAAATCGTTTGTCCCAAAGAGTCACAAGATCAATCAGCGGACATTCCACATGCCAGAATCCATCTTGCGAGTGGAGGAATTCGAATACTTTTCAGAAGCTGTAAGCTGGACGAACAATGGTGGTACCTATTACGTGGCAACTATAGATAGAAGTCGTCTCAAGCCCTTTTATGAAGGAATGTACCGTAGGAGTCAACGATGAAGGCGTTTATATATCAACTTTGTCGTTTTGGAATATTCTTCATCATTCACATGTATATAGTAGTCTCTCTCTTTTTATATTATCCTCCTTCTTCCATAGTCCCCCACCACCACCACCACCTTATTGAGATATAAGATACACTTGTTCTCCCTCATGGTATACATTCAAACATTGACAGTGATTCCTTTCTCTATATGTACGAGTTGATGAGGATAAAGACGCGGCGGATATAAGCTAAATAGTAACACTTTAATTCTGTATGCATGATGTATGTCGAAAGGTGAGAGAGGGAAAAAGAGACGTAATGGGAGAAAAGAGTGAGTGAGAGAGGGATCGATCAAGTCGCTATGATGATAGGCTATCGATTTGAGGATACAAGTCTTTCAATTTGTCCAAGAACATTTTCTAAACAAAGAAATGAGTCAATGAACAATGAAAATACAATCCATGTCATGTTACTTTACCTGCATAATGTTGGCATCCTCATAAACAAAGGAACCTTCCTCGTTAAAAGTGCGTGCATTGTCACACATGAGAATGAAATCATCGCGGAATTGCTCAACGGTCTTGTAATAAGGAGAATTCACTCTTCGTTTGATCATGTTCATTGACATCGGGTTCTTGATCATATCATAATACGTTGGGTACTCTCTCTTGCTGACAAGGTCCATGAAGAGTTCACATCTCAATCGCTCATCACTAATATACACTTGTCAATCACTTGGATTCCTTCTTCCACTATTTCACTTACCCATCTTCATCTATTTCGGTTGCTTCCTCGACGACCTTGATACATTCGTTGAATATGCGTGTTATTTCAGCTCGCTTGTCTTCTGGTAGTGTATCAGGTCCATCGAGCTCTGGTTCTTTCTTTATCCGCTTGTATGAACGTGGTTGTTGTTGTTGTGCCTATACCCATACTCGCATAAGTCACTTGATCACCATGCCAATAAAATAACACTCACCTCAGTGTCAACACGTCTTGGTCGACCTCGTTTTCTTGGTGTATTGTTCTCGGTGGATGATGAAACATCAGGGGCATTGGGACGACGACCACGTCTTGGGCTTGAGTTTGATTCAGTATCCAACAGGCCAGCCTGTTTTGCTTTAAGCTTCTCCAATCTCCTTCGTCGTCTGGCTTCTTTCTTTGCAATCAAGTCGTCCAAATCAACGTTATCATCTTCCAAAGCCTGAAAGATAGAACCATTAGCAAATGCGACTAAAAAGAGAGAAAAAGAGTTGCCCAAAACTTACATTTAACCATTGTTCTTCTGTCAATCCATCATCATAACGCACGCGATCACGTGAACGTTGCCCACGTCCCATTTCAAGTGATGGACTCTCATCGTCGGCTGGCACCTCATCGTGTTGATAAATTTCAGGCAACTCTTCTTCTTGGATAAGACGTTCCCATTTCTCGCCTTGAGCACGTGCACGTCGACGGAATTCATTTTCTTCACGACGTCGTTCCATATCCATCTTGTTGAAAACCACCAAGTCTTCATCGCCTCGTTTGATGATTTCATTCAATTCTTCATCATCCACTTCTTCATCATCTTCCTCAGCTTGTTCATCCGTTTTATCTTCCAAGAGAGAGCGCTATAAAGAGAGCCATGTCAGCAAACCAAAAAGTTACAAAAGGGCGTTTGATCAATTACCAGGAATGCTTCACGGTCCTCCTCTGTACTCCGATTGTCGAATTTACCAGCCTGGATAACCTTGCCATCAATATCAAGCTTGTAGTTGGCTCGAGCAAGAATGTTTTCTTCGATCGAATTGGTAGAGATCAATCGGAAAATGCGCACTTCCTTGGTTTGACCGATACGATGGGCACGATCCTGAGCCTGCAAATCCTGATGTGGATTCCTTTGAAAAGATATAAGCATCATGTTGGGTCACAAATATAGGTAATTTACCAGTCCGAATCAAAGATGATGACCGTATCGGCTGCTTGCAGGTTCAAACCAAGACCACCAGCTCGAGTACTCAACAAAAAGACGAAATAGGGGGAATCGGGTGCATTGAACTTGTGCAACAAATCGGATCGATCATCAGCCTATATCATGGTGTGAATAATGTGCATGACATGACACTTCCCATTCGTCCACAAACCTTAGTTGAGCCATCCAAGCGCAGGTATTGGAACCCACGATAATGAAGATAATCTTCCATGATGGTCATAATTTGCGTCATTTGGAAGAAAATCAAGACCTACAGTAGTAGTAGTTTTAGCACGTCGATCTCATCCTTTTTGTGCTCAAGCTACTTACTCTGTGGCCTGTGGCCTTCAATTTAGGTAGCATGCGATCCAACAGTTCAAACTTGCCGGAGACACGGAAAAGCAAATCATCGGATTGTTGATGCGGGTTCACCTCGTTCTCCACCTCTTCAAACACAAATGGATGGTTGCAGATTTTGCGGAGTTGCATGATGGTGTTGTTCAAGCCCTTAATGCCCGTTTTACTATTAATCGCGTATTAGCAAAGAGGCCATCATATCTATAAAGTGTATGTATATACATACCCCTTTTCGCCGGATGCAGTGTACAAGATGCCAGACTTCTTCATTTGAGAATATAGCTTGGTTTGGAGGGCTGACAACTTGCACTTGATGACACGCTCCACCTTATCTGGTAACTCGGATTCAACATCCTTCTTGAGACGACGTAGCAAGAAAGGTCGCAACACCTTGTGAAGACGCTTGATAATCAGCAATTGTTCTTCTTCATTCAGAGAAATACGATCTTGTACGCCTTGATTATTGAAAGGAGTATTGAACCATTCCTCGAAGCTCTTGACACTCTTGAAAATCTTTGGCAAAATAAAGTTGAGCAAAGCCCACAATTCTGGAAGATTGTTCTAATATGCCACAAAACGTTAATGCCCCCCTGTTTGTTCTTGTCCAATTATCACATGTACCTGAAGCGGTGTACCGGTCAAAATGAGTCTATAGCGAGTATGATAAAATTGGCGAAGCACTTGGACAAGTCTCGAGTTGGTGTTCTTCATGCGGTGACCTTCATCAATAATCAAATGCAACCAACGGATCTTGCTAAGAATAGGGCGATCCTTGATGATGTACTCAAAGGTCGTAAGAAGCACCTGGAATTCACCGAAACGGATATCCGCTTGCAACGCCTTTCGAACATTGGGGGGTCCCTTGTATACAACGGTCTTGACATCTGGAGCCCACTTTGAGAATTCCAAGGCCCAGTTGGTCAATGTTCTAAGACGGCATTAGGAATACGTGCTTTTCATGAACTGGAAAACAAACCAAGTGCACTTACGAAAGAGGCACAACAATAAGGAAGGGTCCATTTTGCTTTTTCTTTTCAATGATGTAGGTGATCAAGCTGATGGTTTGAATTGTCTTGCCGAGACCCATTTCATCTGCCAAGATGCCATTCAAATTGTTGTTGTACAAAGACACCATCCATTGCAAGCCTTTGAGCTATAAGATTGGGTTAGATGTCAATTATGAATAGAGGCCCAATGGAGGAGAAAACCAACCTGATATTCCTTCAAGGTACCACCCTTCAAAATCGTTGGCTGAGAAACTTCCTCCTTGATGCGATGAGTCACTTGGAAGTAATCCACCTTGCTCTCACCCTCTTCCTACATAGCCAAAGTGAGTATAATGCGTTATTCATCCATAGCCATAACAACATACGGTGTCATCCTCATCTACTGTTTCCTGTGGTAGGGGTGTGTATTCGCCTAATTGGACAATCTCATGCTGTTGCTCCACCACTGACTTGGTAAGCGATTCCAAAAAGACGCCCGTTTGACGCAACAATTGGGTGAGACGAGTATCCTTGGCTTCATCAATGAGTTTCATGTAGGCTTCTTCGTCATCATTCTTGAGAGCACGAATACGTTCACGAGAGATACGCTCTTGCTTCTTTTCTTCTTCCTTTTGGATATGCTGATGATATTGCAATACGGCACGGCCCAACTTGGATTGTTTTGCCAACCAAGCACGTCGAGTGGCCAACAAGTTGCGACCATGATCGCACACTTTTTGCAAAGATTCAAGGCGGCTTTGTCGTTCACGTTGATCACGTTCAATACGCTGCTGACGTTCCAATTTTTCTGTCATGCGAGCTTCTCTCAATGATTGCTTCTTCATGCGTCGATAAGCAAGTCGATCCACAGAAGTTGCCAACATGGTCGATTTATCCAAACCACCAATAATCTCTTGTCGAAGCTGATATGATATGATAGGCATGAGTTCTACTATCCATTTCATGTATCCCTCATTCCCTTTGTTACCTTTCGTTGTCGATTAAGTAAACGTAAAGCCTTGAGTTCGATCACAGCTTTCAACTTGCTATTGGATTGCATTGTTGTATCATCGCTACTGCTGCTGCTGCTGCTGCCGATGTCAGGGGAACTCATAATCAAGTTACTCGGTAGTTTTTCAAGCTCTGAGATACGGTATTGGACATGCGTTTTGATACGACGCTCACGTTCAGTGATCATGCTATGAGGATCCATTCCTGTCGATGTGATACTAGGAATAACGAGACGATGTTGTCGTGTAGCATGAGCAGTTGAAGATACTGGTTTCTTGACAAGGTTGTAAGGTGATGCATAAGCGTTCGGTTGTTGCGATGGTGATGATGATGATGATGACATGTTGGGTTGATCTAGAGCCTTTGCTGTAATGGATGAAGCTGAAGCTGGCGTTGTGGGTCCACTATCAGTAGACGAGACACCTGTTCCATTCCTCGACATGTCATCATGTTGTTGTGGCACCACGCCATCCGATGTACTGCTGCTGCTATCAGCTCGTTGCATTTCTGATGACATGAAAAGAGCTTGCTGAAGGTGATGAGGTAATGGCATGTTTTTTGATATCAACTTGTATGCCAGGATCTGATAACGCAATGCTGCCAGTTGTTGCTGGTTCAAGGTCACTTTTGGAGAGCACTATCAGTAAGGTATTCCTTTGCGGACTTGGTGATCAGTTCACTCACCTGCATCTGTAGCATCTACGTTTCTAGATCGGCCTTGTTCCACAGGCGCGGTTTCTGACATTCGATCCTGCCTTTGTTGATTCTGCAAGTTCTTCAACAAGCCCATGATCTGAGCATATTCAACATTGTTCTCCTCAGTTGCTCCTTGAGATTGGAGACTCTTGGCTCGCTAACAAAAAGGAATTGTCCGATTAAACACCTGGGTCTTTCGGTCGATGGGTGCCATCGCATTCTACCTGAAGCAAGACATTAAGTTTATCGCTGGTGAGACTAGTAGGAACCATGGGCGCCATCACGATCGCATTTGCCATTGAAGAAGGCTCCAAGGTTATGAACAGTGAGGGCTACCTAGCGCGCCGCGCTCGTCACTTTGGCCATAGCGGCGTTTGAAATTCCACATCTCTCTCTCTCTCTCCCTGTGAGTGGGCTACTGCTACTACTACTACTACTACTGCTACTACTGCGCCGCTATTTGTAGTTAGGATAGACTTGCCTCACACACCACCATCACTACATGAGAATAAACTTGGATACCTTCTACATAGATTTTGTTGGACTAAATGAATTGTGCTTATTCTATCCATGTTTGAAAAACATCATTAAAAGATCCTTAGCTGCTGAATAATTGGAAGCCAAGAGAATATGAAACGTACGATATCCATGCCTATCATTCGTTAGGTGTTTCTACAACAAAGATACCATCTCCATACACATGATCATACTTGACAAGAAAGTGCTATACGTTTTCTTTTATCATTTTCGCTCATCCAAGAACACATGGTATCTTTTTAAAACTATCGAGCAAGCATCATCATCTAGGAACTAAGATGGGCAAAGAAAAGCTTGAAGATGAATTGCCTTTCATCACGTAGCATAGATGCAATGTCACGCAACGGATGACTAGGGATCATAGCGTTGTACTGGGTTGCTATCCATTGCTAGGCTCTATGTAGTAGTAAATAGCTGCTTCTTCCTTGGCAACAATAATAATGATAGGCTGATGATAGTTGCTAGGCAATGATAAGCGGTGTTAGTAATATCTATAAGATCATGGTTGCGAGGCAATGATTCACAATGTTGGCATTACATAAGAAGGGCAGTGATGGGCACTGCTAAGCTTATTTAGTTATAGATGCATGCAACATGCATGGCCTGTGCTCCACCGATTAGTATTTTGCGGCCTTTGAAAGTATGTCACGTGGTAAAGTAAATGCTTGTTACGATCCAAAGCGTGAATCGGTTGCTATGTAACCCATTCATCTTTGAGGGTGATAGGCTTATGAGAAATAGTACTTTATCAAATGGAAAAGAAGTATCTTTATTATTGACATCAATGTGTTTGGGGCCGATTGATCTTCTAACGAGATGTGTATGTGTTGTTTACGTGGCAGAGATCTTGCGGCATCTAGTGTCATCCTTATTCGTTTCAATTGCTAGGCAACCTCCATCCAAGAGAGTGTGTGCGAGTAGGTAGTGTGACTTGCTAAGGGTAGTTGGTGGAATAGATGGGAAGGGTTGTCATGTGGTTTCGTCTTTGTCTTGTTTCGTTCTTGTCGCCATGGCCGACTATCCATTTCCGGAAGGGTTCTTTTATCTTCGATCGCGTTTTAGTGGCAAAGTAATTGACGGTGGGTCATTGTCTCTCATCCACAGGCAAGATGCTAATTGGGTTATGCAGTTGATGGCGCCTCGCTCAAGGTGATATTGACTCGTGTGCACGCGGGAACGACTTGCGATATTTATGCCGGATGAATTAGAATGATGCCAAAGTGTTAATATGGACACCTAAACACAATGATGATCGAGACAATCAACTTTGGTATTATCAGGTAACGTTAGGAGGATAAAGGATGTATTTGTGCCATTGTACTCATTATGGGGGGGGGAGGTATTAGGATGGATTCATTGTTAACAAGCACTCGAACAAGGTGCTGGATGTTCGTGGTGGCAATCTTGACGAGAACATGCCTATCATCCAATACGACAGGAAATTGGTTGTGGATGCTCAAAATCAGCGATGGGGTTATAGTCGTGAAGGATACATTTATGTTCTTGGTAATGATTCATCTCTCGCTCTCTCTCTATGATAATCATTATTGATACCATGTCTTAGAGGATCCTCATATGGTGATTGATGTGCGTGGTGGATCGGGTGATGATGGTGCAAGGCTTGTACTGAAAAGGCGCAAGGTTAGGCTGAATGAAGATTTGAGTCAACAATGGGATTTAGTACCTGCTGGTGAAGTGCGTAGTGAACGCGAGTTATTGTTTGAATCAGATGCCTTTTGATGATACGTATATATTCCCCCCCACCCCACCTTGTCTTTGTATACCGTTGTTATGCATGAATCTCCAAGCGGACCTTTTATAAATCAAAATTCCTGTTTGACGTCTTGCCAATTTCCACGCCTCTCTCTTTACCCTATATCATGCCACTCAAACAAGCAAAAATCAGTTACTTTATCAACAGAGCACGACCACCACAAAATGAGCCATCGCAAAGTACCTCGGTGGACAATGTTGAATCTGCCGTATCCCCAGTAGCCTCAATGTAAATGCTACGTCAACACCCGATTTTCAGTTGTGCTCATGTACTTTGCTTCAGACCCCATGCGGCAATGCCAGCCATTTCAGGCGACTCCAATGACGAGAACAAGGTCGTGTCTCAGAGTACCGGCAAGCGTAAACAAGATGAAACAGTAGCACCTGAAGAAGATGATAGCGACGATAGTAAGCTTGAAACGACATTATCCTGTAATGAAGATATGAGATATTGATACACATGGTTGTTTAGGTGAGCCTCTATTTATGACCCCCACTCGACGACTGAAACAGCGTATAAAGCAAAGCAATCACGAAGAAGATGAAGGAACAGGTACAGTAATAGAATTGATGGTTTGTTCAAGATATACGTTGTTGATTCAATATCCGGTAGTCGATCAAGCAAACACGAGCGATGATGAGGATGATGATGACATAATCAAACGGCGTCCAAGGAAACAAGAGAGAGATGGCAGCTCAATAGTCGATCTGGATGATGATGATGATGATGAGATCGTAATCAAACGACGTCCAAGGAAACAAGAGAGAGATGGCAGCTCAACAGTCGATCTGGATGATGATGATGATGATGATGATGAGGTCACGATCCAACGGCGTCCAAGGAAACGAGAGAGAGATGGCAGCTCAATAATAGATTTGGAGGAGGAGGAAGATGAAGGTAAGTTCATACCAGGAAGCCATTACAAAAGGTGGGCGATATTTAACAAAAGGGGTTTTGTTTAGATGACTCAAAACCAATTCCCAAACGACGATTACATCAGCGACGTATAAGCAATGAAAACCCACAAGAAGAAGATTGGAAAGAAGATTTGGAGTTCCTTGGTGAAAACGGTGAGCCTATTTAGAAGAGAATCATGAAGGGATTGAATGACTGATAAGGGATTTAGATGTATACGAAGAACGCACACGTGGCCGCAAAAAGTCGGATTATGCATTGGCTTTGGATCGGTTGAAATGTAAGGCGACAAAAAGGCAACCTCACGATCTATCTCATACGTATTTATCTTTAGCACGGAAAAGGCGGGACTTTGCAGGAGAAGCTGGCCCAATGGATGACTATTGTGAGCATGAGGATGATGAATCTGGTTCCGATGAATCAGACGATGATGATGCTGATGATGATACCGCCGCCTCTTCGATTGAACAAGTGGATACGGATGAAGAAGAGCAAGATGATTTTGTGGTGGATGATGACGTTATTGATGGTGTCAAAGTTGTACCCTCTGAAAAGGACGATTCAGCGATCGCATTACCAGGTCAGTAATATGAAAAAAGGGCAAGTCATGTTCATTTTGATTAACAGCGTGTGTGTGCGTGCGCGCATTAGATGTTTTCAGCACCTCCCGAACACAAAAGTTCTCAACAAACTTTAAAGTTTATGTGGAAAGCCTTGTTTATGAACACTTTGGACTCGATACACAAGGTAAGTAAACATGGGGGATAAAAGTGCCACATGCAAACACGGCCGAGATGTTTATAAAACAACTGTAGCACCTTCACTCCAATCATCTGTACGAGTTGTCGAGCGCCGTGTGGGAGGATTGATGGAATCGTTGATCACAAGTGATGCTTGGCTTCCGGAGTTCAAGGTAAACACTATTCATTCAACGCCATCATGGTCAACACAAAAGTAACATGATTGTTGGAGTAGGAAGCATTGGACAAATATCCACGATGGGTTACAGTTGGTCATTGCAGAGGATTGACATGTGAAGGATGTCGACAAAATCGTCCAGCCAGCTTCCAAGCATTGCTTACATTCAATCCTGATGATGATGATGATGACAACAACAGCGAGGGTGAAGAAGAGGATGAAGGTCGAAGTTTTGCCTTGGGAAGCGAGTGCTACAAGCGAGCAAATGTGTATCACCAATTGGCACATTTTCGATCACATACATCCGATGCAGTGCGCGAAGAAATCGAATCCTATCCGAGTATGCAATCCTCCATCGAAGAACACGTCTCCAATATCATTGGCACCATGCATTCTGATGGGTTTATGAGCCGAGTAAGTTGATCTATTCTCCGCGTTTCACTTTTTGCAGATCTTTTATATTGACATTTTTCATGCAAAACAGCTTTACACACAAGTTCGGCAAACCTTCAGGGAAGCACAACTCAATTATATGAAAAAGAAGGCGACTGCTTGGATTACAGACGAATCATCAGAAGGCGAATAACGGTGCCATGTCATGGGGTCAGCCGTCGATTTCAGCCCCTTCTTTGTTTTACGATAGTCATTGCAGCAGTGTTATCAATTGATTTGGATATATTGCAGAGTGGTCTTTCTTCAAATGATGCAATTGTTAGACAACAAAAGATGTTTTGGGGGTGAAGCGAATTTGATTGAAGATCCGGAACACATTGGCATTGAACCGATTGATCGAGGCAAGTTTCTTTGCTCCCTTTCGCCCACTGTGTCACCATGGAACCAATATGCCAGAATGGAGCAAAAGGATCTTTGGACAAGAAGTGTTTGTTTTCGTGGCGTGCAACTTTTTGGGGGGACAAGTGTTGACAAAAGCTTGTGCACGGTCGGGTCATCTCCGTTGAATGCGCTTTTCTTCATCATCACAAAAGACATTTAAAAGACTGTTTCAAACACAAGTGAGATTGTAAACATCCCCTCTCTTCTTCCCCACATATCTCCTCTCTTTATTCCTTGTGTATTCTACTACCCTACTTTGTCCCTCAATAGCCGCGTTTTTATTATTCGTCTCCTCTCTTATCGCTTCTTCCCCCCTTTTTTGTATTATTAGTACTACTTGTTTTCTTATACGATGGGTGTCAATCAAAGCAAGATTTCGTATGAAGCAACAGCAACGACGACATTGACGACGCGCAGGCCACCTCTGGACACAAGTGCCATCACCAACAGCAGCTCACGACCAACGACCACTACGACCGAGCCATTGGATCCAACTTTGTTAGGTTGTACAACCAGGCACGGGATAGCGGATCCGACAACGAGTTCCAATTATAATGGCACGATCCGGAATTCGTCCGACAAAAGACAACGCCAACATTCTAGCACTGAAGATAGTGGCTATGTCGGCAGCACAGTCATGTTTCCACAGACATCCACCATTACCGATTTATGTGGTCTCGATGAAACACAGACCAGCTCGGTGATCGTCACAGCTGCTACAGCTCTTACAACAACATCTTCTTCTTCACCACCCTCTTATAGCAACTACAACAACAACAATGCAACAACGACAACAACAACAAGATCATCTCGTCCACCGATCAACTATCGCCTTTGTGTGGATGACATTCTTCAAGAACTTGCTGCTGCATCACCCCATGAAACGAATCCTATCCTCGATGCTGTATTTGCTACTGCTCGTCAGCTTGATGACCCTCGCGATCATGCAGCAGCATTTAGAGCAGCACAAATATGGAGCAAACAAACAAATGACGACGATGCAAGCAATGTTGCAGCTGTATGGGTCGCACGTTGTTTATTGGATGGATGGGGTATGCGTGGTCATGCAAAAGAAGGGTTTGACCAACTGCAACAGCTCGCTGGTCGTGGCTGTTGGCAAGCCTTTTTCCCACTTGGCCTTTGTTATTTGCATGGTGTTGCTCATGTACAACCACCCGACAAGACACTTGCTCTTACTTGGTTCAGCACAACAGCTCAACTTGATCCAGATAAAACAGCTCATGCTCGATCAGTGATTGCCCTTGCACAATTACATGTGGGTGCCTTGACGTTACAAGAGAACCATCTTGGAGAAGCCTTTACTTGGTTCCTGAAAAGTGCCAATATTGGAAATGCGTAAGTCGTTACATACATCACGTGGTCTATTGTATTCTTACTGAAAATTGCATAGGCATGCTCAGTTTCTTGTGGCCATTTATTACGCCCTAGGATGCCATACAAAAAAGGATTGGGATCTCGCCAAACGATACCTTCATAAAAGTGCTGAGCAAGATTTCTCTCGAGCACAGGCTGATTTGGGAATCATGCTTGTCAAGGATCACATGTATGTAGAAGGACTACAATGGCTTGAAAGAGCTGAACAAGCGGTAAATATTATACATTGAGGAGGAGGAGCCAAGGGATGGATAAAGCTGACGTGTAGCGTGTATTTATTATAGCAAGATCCAAGAGCATTGTATCAACTCGGCCTTATGTATGAGCATGGTGATGGTGTTGATCAATCCAATGAACGCGCTTTATTCTATTTGAAAGGTGCAGCTGAGCATGAGCACGTCCTTGCGCAGTATCGTCTAGCACTTCATTATCTTGATGGCGGTATTGGCTTGGAACCCAATCTTCAAAAAGCGGATCAATTTCTTCGACAAGCAGCACATGCGGGTCACCCACCAGCACAACGTCGATTGGGTTGCTTATATCTCGAAGGTCTCGGCCCACCCTCAACTACCGATCATGTACGCCTTCAACAATACAAGAGCAACAAGATTGCAATGGAGTGGTTCAATCGAGCTGCCGTGCGTGGTGATATGCAAGCGTATGTGCTCATTGGTGAATGCTACGAGAAGGGTCGTGGTGTCCATGTCAACCAAAAAACAGCCCTTGAATATTACCGTAAGGCTGCTGAGACCAAAAGCACCTATCAGATGAATGGTCAATATGCGCTGGCAGAACTTTTATTCAGGACTGGACAAGCGGGTGATGCTTTTGACTGGTACAAACGCGCCTCATCTCATCAGCATGTTGAAGCATCCTTCCTCAAACCGATACGTCGTGCAAAACTCATGGTGGCTCGCTATTATTTGCATGGATGGGCCCATGTCAACCCTGACAAGGCACGTGCTTTTCAAATGTTGAATGAACTTTCAGACCATGATGGTGACAGTGCGCATTATTGGCTTGCATCATGTTATTTGGAAGGCATCCCTGGTGTTTGTGAGGTGGATACAACGGTGGCTTTCAAGTATTACATGAAAGCAGCCAAAGCTGGACATATGGATTCTCAATTTGAGGTATGTTGTATGACGTTTTATACATCATCATGCATAACTAACAAATGACAACAATAATAGGTAGCTTACATGCTAGCACATGGAAACGGCACAATGCGTAATCGTGAAGAAGCATTGCTTTGGTATAAGAAGGCTGCCAACAAGGGACATCCAGTCGCCATTTATACGCTTGGATTGCATTTCTTGCATAATGTGCGGAATCTCAACAAGGCCATGATTTACTTTGAACGTGCTGCTGATCTTGGGCATACCGAATCGATGGAACGCCTTGCTGAGATTTATCTTATGGACATTGCTCGCCCCATCTCATCACTCGACCGTGCAGCCAAACGATCTCAAGAACAAAGATGCAAACAAGCACTTGCGTGGATCAAACGAGCTGCTGAGCGTGGACATCGTGTTGCACAACGTGAATTAGGCAAGCTGCATGATCGTGCATTGGGTGTGCCTGAAGATCATCAAAAGGCATTCGAGCTTTTCTCATGTGCTGCACAACAAAATGATACCGTTGCTATATTGCTCCTTGGAAGTTACTATGAACATGGTCAAGGCGTTCCTCAAGATGTCCATCGTGCCCTTGAACACTATTTACGGGCTGCATCCTTGGGCTCTGAAAGGTATGTACATAGTCAACAACGTTTTATATTTTCTTTATTAACCATGCTGTCCATTCATGTATGTAGAGCATCTTTTGCAGCGGGGCAATTGTATCACAAGCTTCATCGTTTCCAAGAAGCCTATGTACAATACAAGATTGCAGCAAAGGATAAGCGTCTTAGAGGAAGCGTTACTGGCAAAACCGCTAGGCTGATGGTGGCACGTTATGTGTTGCTTGCCATGGTGTCCAATCCTGAAGAGACAAAAGAAGAAGCTTTTGAAATGCTGCATGATCTTGTATTGAAGGATGAGTTCTCACCCTCCTTTTATTGGCATGGTAAGCACCAAAACATGTTGCCGCTGTTGACATTTACTTACTTTCGCTGGTTAGGTTATTGCTGTCACCATGGCCTAGGTACAGCCGTTCAGCTTGAAAAGGCAATCCATTGGTACAATCGAGCTGCTGAAGAAGCCAAGGATACTCAAGCCATGGTCCAACTAGCCAATTTGTACGAGCAAGAAAGCCCATCGTCCGAAGAAGACGATATGCGTATTATTCAATGCTTGAAACGTGCTGCTGAACTAGGTGATGCAGAAGGCCAATATAAGCTTGGTAAGCAGCTAATAGACATAGCACAGCACAAGGACTCATGATGATGATGATGATGAATGATAGGGATGGCTCATTGGAGAGGATTGCAGCGTATGGAGATTGACAAAATCAAGGCAGCTGAATGGTTCAAGCAATCTGCCTCTCAAGGCTATGGCATGAGTCATTGGGCTTTGGGACAAATGTTTCTTGAAAATGGTGATCGTGACATGGCATTATTGAGTTGGGATAATGGTGTACGACTCGAAAATGCTGCATCGATGCGATCACAGGCACAGCTTTTACTTACGATGCTTCCTGAAACGGCTGAACAAGATCGACGCGTGCAATATACCCGTGCAATGAAACTCTTGACCGATGCAGCTCACCAAGGCGATGCTGAATCCCACTTGTATCTCGGACGTATTTATGTCGCTGATGCTGCAGCCCTAAAGCAGCGAGCGCATGCCATTGATGGCGATCTTGATGAACACACAAGCAATGATATCATGGTACTACTTGAGCAACAAAAGCAACAAGAGGAGCGTGCCAAGAATCATTTGGAAATCGCTGCCAAGGAGGGTCAAGTAGAGGCGATGTTCCTTGCTGGTCAAATTTGGCACGAGCAAAGTAATTATCTTCAAGCCAACAAGTATTATCAACAAGCAGCAGATGCTGGCTATATGCTTGCACGTGTAATGCGAGCACGATATCGACTTGCTGAAGGCTTGCCAGGCATCGTAGCTGATCCAGAAGCTGGATTTAAGGTATATGAAATGTTTTTCTTTATTCGCTTTTGGGTGTTAATATTGTATATAGGAGTTGATGGCGTGTGCTCAAGAACAATGCAGCAGTGCTTATCATTCGCTTGGACAATGTTACGAGCTTGGACTTGGAGTACAGCAAGATTACGAAAAGGCTCTTGAATGGTATTCTCGATCGGTTGAAACCACAGCGGATGCTGAAGCTGTTTTCCGAATTGGTCGTATCCATGCTCGTGATCATAAGGAGCTTGATGCATGTCGTTGGTATGAGCTTGCATGCCACATGGACAACACACATGCTCGTGCCCACTACCATCTTGGATTGTACTACTTGCACGGCGTTCATGATACCATTCAACGTGATTTTGAATCAGCAGTGTATCACCTTCAACAAGCCATTCGCCAAAACGACTATGATGCCATGTTTGAACTTGGTATATTATACTTGAGCGATGACATGCAATTTACCGTTGAGCAGCAATTGGATGGCTTTGCCTATTTGGAACATGCCTCCCAGTTGGGGTCATGTGATGCTCAGCGTGAACTTGGCAAGCTCTATCACACCGGCAAGGATTATTGTCCGAGTATCGATGACACGGGTATCGTCACTATTGTTCCCCAGCAACTCGATCGTGCCTTCGACCTATTTTGTCAAGCAGCTGAACAAGGAGATCGCAGTGCGGCATTGTTTGTGGGGACATTTTACGAACATGGTATTCATGTATCAGCCGATCCATCCAGTGCTGCCCAATGGTATGATATTGCGATTCGCTTGGATTTACAACAACCATGGTGGGTTGCCGAACTTGCTCTTGCACGTGTATTACATCAAGATCCTAGCCAACGATCGCGCGCCTATCAGCTTTTCCAAGCCGCCTTTGAACATGCTGAAACCGATGAACAACGCTCCACAGCTGAAATCATGATGGCACGCTATCGATTGCATGGTTGGGGCGATGTATCCATCCAAGATAAAGTGGCCATGATGGTACTGTTGCGGTATGCACGTGCAGGCGAAGCTCGCGTTTTCTATGAAGTTGCATGGAGCTTTGAACGTGGCCTTGGTGTGGATCAAGATCTAAAGCAAGCCTTCATCTGGTATAGTCAACTGGAACAACTCGCAAGTACCCTCACACAAGAAGAAGAAGAGCTTCTCGATGACGACTTGCAACAAGATATCACCAATGCACTTGTTCGTCTCGTTGAATTCTATCGCTGTGGATGGACAACACGTGTGGATCTAGCCAAAGCTACCACCCTCGAAAACCAAATAGCACGTCGTAGTAAGTATTGAATACTATTGACAAGCTTCCATCATTGTGATGCTGACATCTTTTTCTTTTACAAGCTGCTCGTGTACGAGATTTATGATCAAATTGAATCGTTTCATCTTTTTTATTTTCTGTATGCCTCATTTTTTCCCTATCTTTATCATCATTTATGTATATGCCTGCCTACTACTATGAATAGCTTTCTCCATCTCCCCACTTTCTCTCATCCCATTATGTAAAAAGACATTTTTGTATATATACAACATCTTATATAAATATGCAAAAGACGATTTTCAACAATTTACTCTGGTTTAGCTTGAACTATGGAGTAATACGTATTCCCTTGTGCTGTGACCAAATTGTATCATGTCCTTTGCTCGCAATTCGACATAGCGTGTGCCTGGTATTTGTTCATTGTTGAGATAGGTCCCATTGGTGGAATCAAGATCAATAAGGAAAGGTCTAAGCAATCAAATGAGTATGTGATTTCCTTGATCCAACATAGATGATACCTACTTTACGACCTCTTGCGTCTTTCCGGTGTCTGGATTGGATTCAGGTACTCGTCGAAATTGCAAAACAGCGTGTTGCTTTGAACATGATGGATGATCTACAGGAATATCGGCTACCTATAATGATAACAATGAGCATGTTGACCCACAATGAAACTTCTTTTAACGTACCAATCGATCTCTACCGATCAAGAACGAGCTTTGACGATGGATATGCAAAAGATCTATATGTACCCATATCAACACATGTATGTAGCTTCCTTAAATCCACGCAACACACTTACCAATCTGTTCAGAGCCTTTAAAGACATACAATCGCCATTTCAACGTTGGTTTAGCAGCCTCGGGAGGTTCATTGTACTTTAGTTCCACACCCTTGACAGTATTGGTTTCTGCTGCAAGTTTGCCGGATAATCCAAAGTTGGGTTCCTCAGCAGGTTTCTCTGGTTCTTTTGGTTTCTCTTGTTCACGATCTTCAGGACGACCCCATTCATACTTTTGACGTGGACGATGTTGCTTAGGTGAACCACGACGACGAGGCGCGCTTTGATGGGAACGACGTGGCGATGGGGATCGCGAATCTCTGCGACGACGAGAAGAACGTGCTGGTGGTGATTGGGAATCTCTACGACGATAGTGAGGTGGAGATCTTGAACGACGTTGACGTTGCCGTGGTGATCGTGAGCGGCGTGAAGGCGAGGAAGGCATAGTTGTCAAAGAGAGAGAAAGGGAGTGAGAGAGACAGTAGCTGAAATCCAATTGATTTGTCGTCAATAAAGCATGTCATGCGTACTACAACTCGAAAGTCATGTCAATGATATTACCTTGTACAAAGTGTTCTTGATCCTTGAAGGTGAATAGGCTTTACTATAATCATTTCATAAAGGGGAGAGGAGTGGAGCAGTTTTATTCATCATCATCATCATCCACCATACTTCAATACGATGATCGTATATGGTACAATGACTTGCCATTACTAATGTCCTTTATACATGTTTCTTCCTTCTATCAAACCTCATTGTAGTCATCCATGTTGTGAGTACATCAGGAACCACGTACATACAAAGGTGAGTGGGTGGGTGGGCACGTGCAACGATTTCTATGGCCCCGACAATTTGCATGGCAATGGGCTGGCATTTGGCAGCAGTTATCTCCTTCTCTCTTATACTACCATGAGCGCCGGCCAGACTGTAATCTTGGACACATCCGTAGGCTCGATCGAAATCGAATTGTATACACGACACGCTCCAAAGTACGTAAAGTTATATACACCAACTCCATGGACTCCTTCATCATTGACACGAGTTTGGCAGGACATGCAAAAACTTTTACGAGCTTGTGAGTTCTTAGCACACCCTACCTTTATTACGCGACTCTAAACACGCTTTATTCATATGCACTTCATAGTCTAAGCGAGGATACTATGATGGCGTCAGCGTAAGTTTGATCATGAAAGTGTTATTTAAGAGAGATGAAATGCTGACAGATCGCATAGTTTCATCGCATTATCGAGGTATGATCTACACATATACATTTTCTTATTCCATCTTTTGACACAATCCGTATGATGGATATCAGAACTTTATGATTCAAGGTGAGGAGTATGAGGAGGAGGTATCCAAGGAAACAGCGCTAATAATGGAATATACAACAAGGTGGTGATCCTACTGGTACTGGTCGTGGAGGAACATCAATCTACGGGTAAGAAGGATGGAAGGTTTACATGTCGAACTTTTGTTTATGATTTGGAAATAGTGATAAGTTTGAGGATGAGATCCATGGCGAATTGAAGCATACGGGTGCCGGTATTCTTAGCATGGCCAACGCAGGTCCCAACACCAATGGATCACAGGTTTGTGGGAATGGATGTTGTGCATTAAGGGAACACTCGTTCTTATTGAGTTTCTTTCTTTTGTAGTTCTTTATCACTTTGGCACCAACGCCTTGGCTTGATGGTACGACAGGATGCAATGGATAATAGATACGAATCATCTGACATGGCATATAGGCAAGCACACCATTTTTGGCCGAGTAAGCGATGGTATGAATGTTGTAAAGCGGATGGGATTGGTACCTACAGATAAGAATGATCGGTACGTATACAGGTGGTCCATCTTTTTCAATGCCATAGTAATAATGATGATGATGATGATGATTAGGCCCAAGGATCCTGTTCGTATTATCCGTGCTCGGGTAGAAGAGTAAAAAAGAGCCTCCTTTTTCTCGTACAATAAAAAAAAGTCCTTCAAGGACGAGAAACGTTACCAATGCGCCAGCGTGTGCCGTGTCGGCATTTTATTTTTCATTTTGTTATTCGCTTGCTGTTATCCCAACCAAAAGTAACCACCACAACCACTGCTACCCAACCCACCCTGCACATGCCCAAAGAGATCAAATCACTTGTCGCCTGTTCTCAAGATGTTCTCGCCCGCCATTTGGATTGTAAGACGATGCCATTACGAAACGTCCTAGTCATCTCAGCTCATCCGTGCTTAAACTTTTCCATAGTTCTCGACGACGTTGGAAGGGCTCCGTACAGCTTGTTAAGGGAAGCCCTTTGCAAAGCAACACCACAGCAACTCGATCGTATCGAGCGAATCAATCCAGTAAGTCAATAGCATCGTGTCTTTATTACTTGCATCTCACATGAATTCATCTATTTGCTCAGCATCTGATCCCAGAATCAATTGGTATATAAACAAAAAGCAAAACTCATTCCTGTTGGTGTTACTTAGCAAATTATATAATGTAGAGCTGTGGTTACCGCATTGCTTATCATTTTCCGATATCCGAGAAGCTTATAACCAAGATGTTTACCCTGAATTCACTGATTGGAGGCAACTTTACCATGTAAGTAGACTACTACACCTTCAACAATAATCCCACGTTGTTACTAACTCTCTCACCCACCCCCATCCATATATAGGAACGCGTGCAAGAAAGTGAACGACGTCGACAAATGGCCAGGGCAAAGATGAAAAAGGAATACAACAAGATCCAATCTGAAAAGGCAGCCAAATCCATCAAGGTCTTGTCGGGTGTAGTACCTATACAAGGTCGTAAAACTACCACTTACGAAGCTGCAAGTAAGTTGGACATGTGAAAAAAAATTATACCTAGATAGTTAAACTCTTGCTTGCATAATAGAGCGATCTACAACCAGTAAACTATTCCGAGAAACTCGCAAAGCGGCTGAAAGAACGTAAGTGATGGATCAAATTAGCAGCAGCAGCATGATTAACATCTTGTAGGCATGCCATCTATAAATCCAAACCATCTCCATCAACGGTTGCCAACCAACGACCCCAAAGACTTTCTATGCAAACAACTACAACATCATCTAATCAACGACCTGGATCGGCGTTGACACGCGCATACAATTCACTCTATGAGCAACAACATATGCCACCTCGTTCACCCATATACCGCCCGCTTGTACAGCCACCCTCTCGAATATCATCATCATCATCACCAACAGCAAAGAATACACCTTCACCCTCCCCTTCCTCGTCAGAATGCATACCAACTAGCAAAAAACCTCGTTTGAATGATCGCCATCATCATCATCATCATCACCTGACAACAACGAGCAGGTCGCCAAGGCCAAACTTTTCACCCAATCGAAGCCAATCCGAATCTGCTAGTAGCCATAATGCCTCGACTGCTAAGCGACCCGTAGCGATCGTTAACTTTGACATTTTCAAGCAAGTGAGTGAAGAAGGTTTTAATCCATATCATCATGGCTGATTGATCTTTTATTATTATTCTTATAGCTGAGCTGAAGAAGCTTTTACGATCCATGTTGTACATAGTTGTAGTGTTCCTTTGACCGATGAAGCGATCTTGTTCGTCTTCACATTTATACATAATCTATATTCCCTTGACTGCTGCCAGAATTACTTTGAATGACAGGCGTGATATTGATATACATGAAACGAGAGGGGTTGATGGTTGTGAGGGAAGGTTTGAATGATAGAACATGGTGAATGGGTAGGGATCAACGCATTAGGAAATTCGGGTTGGCTGCATTGCACAATCATCATGTCACCACCACCAACCACTTTAAATGCAGCGCTGGTTTCATTGTTGTTATCTCGACGCTTTCTATTTTACAAATGCCAAACGTTCTCATTGGTGCAACAGGAAGTGTGGCGAGTATCAAGATTCCACAACTTGTTGATCTCTTCCTTGAGGTATATGCTTTCACTCTTCATGCCGAATGGACTTGGCATTGACAATTGGTGTGTGTGTGTGTCTACAGATTCCCGACGTCTCTGTCAAGGTGGTGCCAACCAAGGCTGCTCACTTTTTCTTCACCAGCGAACAAGTCAATGCTGAAATATGTACAGACGAGCAAGAATGGGCTGTAAGTTGACTTTTGAAGGGATGATCATTCAACTAGGCAAGCGAGATAGTAACGAGCTTGTTTCTTTTTAGATGTGGGCAAAGAAAACCGATCCAGTACTTCATATTGACGTAGGTTCACACACATTCACCACCCTACATTTCTTCATCTGATGGATGGTGTTGTAGTTGCGTAATTGGGCTGATGTGCTAGTCCTTGCACCGTTGGATGCAAATACCCTTGCAAAGATTGCAAATGGCCTTTGTGATAACTTGCTGGTAGGTGGATGTCACGTGCCCTTCTTCTAGATCCTCTCACATCCGCTTACTAATGTAGACATGTGTCTTACGAGCATGGAATCCTATAAAGCCGGTCATTGTGTGCCCTGCTATGAACACCAACATGTGGATGCACCCCTTTACCGCTCGTCATCTCGGTGTCTTGCAAGAGCTGCTCAAATTTCAAGTGATTAGTCCCATTAGTAAGACATTGGCATGTGGCGATACTGGTAAGTGAAGTTGTGTGAGCGGGCTATCGCATTCTACATGTTGTTAACATGGTGTCATAGGTGTGGGAGCTATGGAAGAACCTGCTGTCATTGTTGCCAAAGTGAAAGAATTTATCAAAGACGAAAAGATAGGGAAATCAGATATACCAAAATCAGAAAAATTGGATGAAGGAAGCCTTATTTAATAAAGCAATGTAGATGCAAAGATATGTATATTCATATGATGTGAAATAAAAGTGGATTGATGATGAGAGAGTGAGTGAAAGATGATACAAGTAGCAATAGGGGGAAAGGGAAGAAGCAGCAATTAAACGCGAAGGACAATCTTGCCCACTGTTCGATGAGATTCAAGTTTCAAGTGTGCCTTGGCGCCATCCTTAAGATCAAATAGCTGATCATCTCGAAGGACGCTCTTTATAGAACCATTGGCCAAAAGTGGATGTAACTCGCCAGCAAATCGGTCCCAGGGCAAGTGTACCACCACACGATATGGGCGACATCCACCAATTAAGCGTCCCAAAACGGTTAATCCCATCTTGAGGCCACCAAAGAACCCGACTTTTTCGGCACCAGCATGCATTTGAGGACCAACAGCAGTAGCGTAAACGGATCCTTTCTTCAACAAGCCCACAAATTGGTTGTAATAATCGTCGCCACCAACGCAGTCAAAGATCGCATCATAGCTATTCACCTCCTTCTTCAATTCATCCATCTCGTGCTGCAGGTTGTAGGCAACGGTTCGATCTGCACCCAAGCTGGACACAAACTCTGAATTCCTTTCACTGCAAATGGCCACCACATGTGCACCGGTAGCCTTGCCAAGTTGAACAGCGTACGTGCCAACACCACCAGAGCCACCAATGACGAGAATTTTCTTTCCACTACTACTCTTGATAGGCATGTTTCCTAGAACAACAATACCTTGGAAGGATGTAATACCTAAAAGAACAGGGATCAGTATACGTTGTTTTAATCATCTTTAAAAGCACATGTACTCACCAGCAATACCAACAGCAGCGGCTTCTTCAAACGACATGTTGCTTGGTTTCTTCACGATGGCACCTTTACCGAGCGTGGTAACAAGCTACAAATACAAATTGTTTAATACCGTTGTATTCCATCCACGTCATTGTGGCATAGTTACTTACGTATTCAGCATATGCACCATACTCTTGGCCAATGGGTACACTCAAACCACCATAAACTTCGTCACCAATCTCAAAGTCCTTGACTGCCGAGCCCTTGGCTACCACAATACCCGCATAATCGCTTCCAATGATATTGGGTGGGTTCTTGAATAACATGTCGGGCACGTTGCCTGCACGGTATTTGGCTTCGATAGGATTGACACTAACAGCTTTGACCTTGACCAAAATGTCATTGGGATTGCGAATAGCAGGTGTCTTGATCTCGACGTATTTGAGGGCTTCCTCTGCTGGGCCATAGCGAACCAGCTGCAAGGCATGCATGGTGGATGGGATCTTGTAAGAATCAGTCATTGTGTTTGTTTCGTTGTTGTATGAGAAGAAGAAGCAAAAAGGGAATAGAAAGGAACCAGGATTTATGCACTTTTGATCAGGTCACACAAAGATGAGTGGCGAGTATGCGTGTTCTTTCTTTCTTTGTATTGTTCGCGATTACCGTAATCAAAGCGGCGCCTCGAAAGTAACACAACATTTAATGTATATCGTTTACCATGACTCATCTGACTTGCCGCGTGGCCTTACTTTCCATAAACAATGATGGGACAGTACTTTTAGGTAATGCCACCTAGCTCTCTCTCATTACTACGACTACAGGCCTTTCCCAAGTAAATGGCTAGTTAAACTCCGTTGCACATAATAAAACACTTTTCCTTTTCACATGCTGTTGACGTTGACTGATGATGTGATATACGAGGAGGGAGAAAAAGGAGACCATCGCTGAAACAATGATCTGATTTTTCTCATGAGCTATATAGGGTAATTTACGTGTGAAGGATGGATCAAGTGGTTTTGGTTGTCATGGAGGAGTTGTCCTGGATACAGTAGTGCACGGGCCCCAAATTGATTAATGGTGGACTGGAAAATTTTGATCCTTTGTTGGGATCACCTCTCCTTTTGATAAATCTCTTTTATTTCTGGCCGTGTGAACAAAAACATGCACGTACATGCACATGTCTGGAAGATGACCTTTTGCATATCGCATTCCCATGGTTACATTGTTCAAGAGCTTCGTAGAATCAAGGATGGCCTTTGATCGCGTTCTCTGCTATATGCATGTGGTACAAGCGTTTGACCAAGATGGATCATCACTATGATGTTAAGAATTGGCATGGTTGCTATAGGATTCTTTCCACGACCAAGAGACATGGCAATGCTCGTTGTTTCCTTCCCCAAAAGCGACGTTCGTGCGTCTCATTGTTGCAATCTCAGGAGGTGTGTCAATCCCAACCCTTTTTTTATTATGTCAGACACCCCATTTCTTTATGCATATGGTGCTTTCAGATGAAAATGCTTTGTGTGTAGATTGATCAGCTAGCTATGTCATCGGATGAGGGATCGGAGACGTTTGCAATAGATGTGTGTACGTGAAGAACGAATTCGACAAAGGCATCGTTGAAGGGAATGCTAGTTAAAAGAAGGTTGGGCACTATTAGCTATAGCAGTCCAGCGAATAATGACCCTCATCATGCTTGGGCATTGTACCACCATTACCCACATTCGCCGGGGCCGAAAAATCGCGCGCTGTTGTGTGTCTTTGTTCTCTCCACCCCATTTTTTCCCACAATGAGCCAGCTCTTGAGGCATGTTCATTTACGTGTTGGGTGCTTGTCAACTTCGTAGCTAACATGTATACGCAATAGATTATCGACAACACGCCACGTAGTCAATCGCACGATCCGACAGCGTTGTCGAGCATATGCTACCCATCAACAGCAACCATCGCAACCACAACGAGCAGCTCCACGATCGTCGCTTATTTCGCAAAAGACAGCAAAGGAATGGAAAGAACTCTCGACGCCTCAAAAAGGTAACCTAGGAGGGAGTATGTTTTGGTTATGATAGAACGCGTTTTTCTTATGGTATGTCTTTATCAGTGGTGGCTGCATCCAAGGCTACTGTGAATGTTGGTGTTATTCTTGCTGGTGTTGCATTGACCGGTGGTCTTTTGTTCTTGGTTGGAAGGGAATTATTTGGCTCGGATAGTACGACAGCTATCTTTTCAGATGCAGTGGATCGTATCAACGCACATCCCGAGGTAAGGACATCAAACATCATCATAAGATATCGCTATGGGAACCAAACATTCATTCTTGAAATTAGGTCTCTGAACTCTTGGGAAAACCTATCAAAGCACATGGTGAACCAAGTAGAAAGCGTAATCGACGTGTTCAGCATCAAATTGTTGAGGATGGTCAAGGCAATCCACATTTGTTTATGCGATTCTACCTTGAAGGACAAGACAACCGAGGCACTGCTTTGTTGGTAAGTCATGATGGAAGGGAGGATACCATTGATCCAGATAATAACTTTTTCTTTTAAAATAGGAAATGATCAAGGTATGAAGGAAGGAAGGGTGAAAAGGGATCTTATCCTAATGTGTGGGTATCGTTTAATAGGATGATAGTGGTACTTGGCAGTACAAACGTTTGCTTGTTGATGTCCCAGGTCAAGGGTATCCCTCTCGTCGCTATTTCATAGAAGGACAACAACAATGAACACTCTACGCTTGAACAGAAGAGCATTTTCCAGAGCATCTCCTACGAGTGTGATTTATGAAACGATGTCAATCCGTTCGAATGGCAAATAAGGTGGCATGGGGGATATAGATATCATGGACATGATTAGCAACCCTGGATTAGTGTTGGATATTTGAGCTTGTTGTTGTGATTTGCAAATTGAATGAAATCTCGATGATTGTTGATACAGCACGTGAATTGGTGGTAGTTTGACAGGTGGTGATAACGGCTAGTGGTTATGAGTCTCTCTCTCCTTCTTGATCAAATACAATGATAGCTTTATTTACAAAGAATAAAGGGAACGTTTCTATGGAGTATGGCTATAGCCATTGATTGCCCTTGTATAAAACATCTTTGTATCAGGAGGCATAAAATAAACATGTGTGGAGCAAGTCAGTCACGAAAGTTGAGGTTACTGTTGCCTTGATTGCCAGCACCCTTTCCTCCTCTCTTTCAATACAACACACCACCCACCACCCCACTCAACCAACCCCTCCTCCTTTTTTTCGACACCCAGGAATGGAGAAATCGTTTGCAGGCCTTCTGCGTAATTCACGGTTAGCGAGATACGATCGTAAGCTTGCTCAAGTGTACTGTGTCTCTCGAGAGAATCAGCAAAAGGGCAATTGGGGCTTGAAGCGCAACCTCCCCAGCGTGATCCGCACACCATTTGTGACCATTTCCGATTTGGATACGGCAGAACATCAAACGCCATGGCGATCGGGCACCGACCAGGTTATGTTTGTGCGTCGTTGGAAGGAGAACTTTGTCAACTCAAAGAAACCGGTTCCTCGGCCCGAACATGTTGAACACAATGTGGCTCTTATGACACCTGCTCAGTTTAAGCACTTTGCCAAACAAGCTGCCAAACGCTCGCCTGATTTTCATCAAAAGTTACAAGACAAGGTGTTGAAGAAGGAGCAAATCTTTGAATATCTTGGTGTTACTTTCAACGATAGCCCAGCAACCGGTGTTGTGGGTCCAACCTACAGTGAGCATCAAGTGGAGATGAATTACCCCGTCCAAGGTCGATTCCTCAACAATGATCGTGAAGGTTATGCAGTGGGTATCGGTGGTGTCGTAGCCTTGTGCTTTAAGCGTTACGTTTCCAATCCTCGATTGCATGGTGACAGACGACAACGCATCTTTTATGTCGAAGAAGCTTCCATTGATCCACAAGGTAGGCCACATGTGGTCGTCAGCCCATACAAACCAGGTGTTTCTTCCATTCCTTCGATTCTTGGTGGTGAGGACGCCGAGGGTGATGTGCTATTATCATCATCAAATGGCATGAAGGCTGAGGACCTATGGAACACAAGCCGGGTACGTCAGGAACGACCGATGCAGGACAAACCAGATAATGTACAAGCAAACCCCAAGCATAAAGAGTTAATGGAGTGCCTCGATGTCTTTACTGATAAATACGGCTCAAAAAAGAATTAGGATTATCATAGAAATAAAAACAATATCGCGTAGACCATCATTCATCATTGGGAAAACAAAGGAGGTTTATAATGTATAAATTGAGATGTGGATCTTCATAAGGGGTGGAATAGATCACGTGAGCTTGAGCTTGTTACTTGTCATCAAAGAAGGTTGCCACCATTGTTCTTAAGATAAGGGAGGGATGGAAGGGACATGTACAGTAAAGCGGTCTTTCCGCATTTGGATTTCTTCGAGCAAACGCCAACATACCTCTTTATCAATGAGCAAATACCCCCCATTCTTCGACTCAGCTCTTCTTGGTCTCGATCCCTTATTCTCAACTGCATTGAAGCTCTTTGCAAAGGCCATTCTCGACTTGAAACCGCTACCCGATCAGCCAGGTACAATGAACACGGCATGTCAATATGGGAATCGTTGACTGATCAGCGTGTCAGATCTCTATGTCTTAAACCAATGCCACGTTATACGATATGCTGAGGTGTGTGGAGTGATTGTATCGGTGGAACAAACCTATAACACGATCATATACACATGTAAGTTGATCTCGTATTCTTTTGAGGTGATGCTCACATTCATGCCAATAGTGGATGATGCGACTGGCACCTTACAATGTTGTCAATGGAAGAATCAAGGCAAAATTATCAAACCGCTTGCACTTGGAACAACCGTGTGTGTACGTGGACGTATTAATGACTTTCGAGATGCGAGGCAGATCAACATACAAAGACTTGGTAATACTTTACATCACCTTCTCTAATGGAAAACACCCCCACTTAAACCTTTTTTATGTATAGATGTTATCGATCAGAACCGACAATTGATGCATGATATATGGGCGGCCCGTTTGCTTGAAACCACCTATGCTGAACCACCCATGATACCCCAGGACATCATCGACGATACAAAAGAGATCAAAAAGGAGCTGCAACAGCACATGGATGAGAATTGGACGGACTTTCTTGCGTCCTCTCAGGTAAGATGGCAAATCAAAGCAAGATGAAATGGGCCTTGCTGATCATTTCTCATAGCAACAAGCCGCGATTGTCAAGGATGAAAAGTACTTTAAGCAGGAGATGCTCGAATTCTTACGCTCAACATCGGGTGAAGGGCCTTTTTCAAAAACAAAGCCACGAGGACATAAACCACTTCATACACTGGCTCGGCAAGTCATCACACAGCATGTACGTTTTCTTTTCTTTTCACGCTTGTTTAAATTTGCCTATTGACATGAGCCTTGTGATAGCAAAAAGAAACCGCTACCAGTCAAAATATTGGCACTTTGTTCAAGAATACGATCGGAGCTCTTTTAAAGGAAGGATGGGTCGTCGAGTCAACCAGCGGCGGTACAGACATGTTCTTGCTTGTAGACGATGTAAAGCTCGAGACTTGTATTATCAACATCATCAAAGACGCCATCCAAGCCCTTCCACCACGGTATCAAAATGGTAATTGGATAAGAGGGGAAGAACTTTACTTGAGAAAAGATCAATGCTAATCAGGTTCCTTTTTTAAAGGCGGGATCATGTTGGATTATATTATCATCAAGGTCCAAAAACAAGACCCCTATACCAAGTTGCCACGTGATCGAATTGTTCGTTGTATAGATAGTATGGTTACGAGGAGTATTTTATATAACACGCGTGCAAGAGAATATAAACCCTGTTGAATGATGATGATGACAAAATACAAGTGTATGCTAGTGGTTTCTGATATACATCTCGTCCGAGTACCAAATGTCATAGTCTGCATCATTTTCATAATCCCCAAATGCATGCAACGCCATCACCTTAAGCTTGTAGGTTCCTGAGGGTAATGGTTTACCATTATTGCTGAAATCTTGTATTGAAGCGGCTTCCTCTTCCATATGCAGCTGATGATCAACGTTTTTGGTGGATCGAAAGAGTTTTGGTTGCATGACAGCCAACCCTGCTGCTGCAGCTGTGCTTTGCTCTGCCATTGCTTGCTCTGGTGATGTAGCAATATCGCCAGCCCAAGCCATAAGAATGGAATCATTGATATCATGGACATTGTTCCTTCCAAGAAATGCCCAATAGCCACCAGGAATAATACCAAAGGACTGGGATGTGTTTTTGGCATCCACCGCAGTAACGAGAAGCAAGGGTGAAGGGTGGATCAATTGTAGCTGGATAAGAGCGGGTGATCGGCTGCTAACACCTGCCGTATCAAGCATCACCATGGGCATAGACCTGTTGACATAAAGTACAGGAAGGCTTCCCAATTCAACAGAGAGACCAGCATACGGCAAGTAAAGTACATTGTCGTCGTCATTCTCCTTGGCAATCTTAAAATAACCCGAATACACCGATGGCGCTTGAGTATCAGCAGGTGCACGTAGACGCACCGTAACATTGGCTGCTTCATTGGCTGGGATGCTGACTTCGTTGGGGTATATGCTCTCTACAATGGCTTGTGTCCCTGGATCATCGAGCTGGATAGGTTGCTGCAGTGGCGCCATATCATCACCATTGCTGTAGCCTTGTACAGTGGTTGCTGGGACATGGGTAATCTTGTAATCGCCTGCCATACGCCCATTATTGTGAATAGTGAATGAGTATTCATTGTTGGGTGCTTGTCGTGATAGATCACGCAATGCAATTTGTTCAGGGGTGACTCTGGTGCTGGCATGGATGGATTTGTAGACGTTGATTAAACCTGAACCTTGACGAGCAACCGATTCAAATGCTGAAGATTGATATCGGCTTAGTGGATCACCAGTATTAATGAGCGTTGCACGTAATTCTTCTGGATGCAGGCTACGACCACCACCTTTGGCTTGTTGCAAAAGCGCAATGATACCAGCAACATGTGGGCTTGCCATGCTTGTACCACTATGATTGATTTTCCATTAGAAGCCGTCTCTTGGTCAAAAATGATCCCTCATCCTTTATACCTTAAAGTTGCATAGCCTCCCTCTTTTATGAGATAAGTTGAATAAATCTCCCCACCAGGTGCAGCAATATCAGGCTTGACGCCCAAGTCGGGTCCTAAGCCCCATGAGCTATATGAACTGATGGTTCCTATAGGTCGTTGTTGAGTACGTGTATTTTCAAACAAAGGTTGGCAGCCTTACCTGCAGTCGGTATTTCGAATTGAACATCTTCATTTGGCAACTCAAACTGTACCCCTGGATTGGCCATTGTCATGTTGAACAATGACTCCCCTTGCTCATTGGAAATACCACCACATTGAATGCGTATTGTTGGGTCATTGATAGATGGGTTCACGAGACCTGGATTGTTGTTGTAGACAATGGCTGCTATAGCACCAGCCGCCTGTACATTTTGGACCTATGATAATAGTATACTTGCATGAGTAAGAGGGAAAGAAAGAGAATCCAATGCCACGTTTAAACCTTTTCAGAGAAATAACATCCACCACGTGCAATCAATGCAATCTTCCCCAAGAGATGATTCGAATGTACAGGTTGGCAAGCATCATCAGGTGGCATAAAAGTATCGGATACAGGTACAATCTCGCCTTCAGAAACCGGCAATGGCTTCCCTGATGAAGTTGAATATCCTATTCGTGCCCCCAATCCATGATCAGCTTCAGCTATTATACCTCCCAAGGTATCTTACATATGTAACTTACCCACTTGAAAATCATTGTACCTTATTGGGTGTGCCAAAGTGATCGAGTTATCGGTGCTTGCCACAGAAAGAGCATGTCGGCCTAACGAAGGTGCTCCCACTTGAAACATGCCTTTGTCGCCTTCATTACCAGCAGCTGCTACCACCATCATGCCTTTCAGAGTGAGTACGTCTGCCAAAACGGACGCTGGCGAATCCGCCCATCCCAAATCGCCTAACGATAGGTTGATCACATCCATGCCGTCATAGTATGCTTGTTCCATTGCTTTCATAATCACATCATCCGCGCTGCTACCAGAACATCCAAAGATTCGATAGGCTCCAAAGGTGACTATTGACACAACATGAGCAAGGTAGGCTATTAGGATCCCCATACCATACTAAACCTACCATCAGGAGCAACGCCTGTAAATTGAAATTCCTTATCATCAGCACCAATGATACCGGCAACATGCGTTCCGTGTCCATTACAATCCATAGGATCGCCATCGGGTATAGGTTGGTTATCGCCTGTGTAATCATCTCCAACAAAATCATATCCAAAAGCGACGCGGCATTGACTCCCAAAGCATCCACCCAAGCTGGGATGTGTATAATCGAGTCCTATAAATCTTGCATGAGATAGGTGCGTCCCACCCCGAATTTGCTAGCTATTATGCTTACCACTATCAATAATTCCAACTTTGATGTCTCGACCTGTCAACCTAATCATCGTCATCAATGATCCACCATGGTAGTAAATTGTTCATTGATGCTTACCCTAGCTCCTCACGCAATTGAGTGACACCCGTATCATTGTAATAGTTGAAGAGTCCTGTTGCTGGCTTTTTTCCAACGTGAAGTAGTTTTGCATTTGGGCGTGCAACGGCGTTCTATGTACGATGATAATGATTACCAATTCATCCTACCTATCTCATTTTGCCTCACTATGCACATACCACAGGCCATGTGCGATGTATGTCTTGTCGCATAAGGTTAAAGAAACGAGTAGCGTCATTGGATGTGTTGAACGATAGCGAAATGGCATTCATCATATCATATCGATGTCGTAGATGATGTTCAATCTTGTGTTCGGCCAACCGTTGAAATAGACCATCATCATGATGGGGTTGTTGAAACTCGACAACGTATGTATTGGGTAAAAAGAGCTGTTGACTGTCATTTGCAAAGACGACCACCGCTGTGCACGCGAGTAAAGAAAATATCAACAGCCATACCATGCTTCATCCAAATAAAGAGAAAGGGAAAGGGAAATGCAGAATAAAAAGTAAAAAGGGTCCAAGGGAAATATACCTGTTTGCCACCATCCCATTCATCCATCCATTTGAAAGCTCACAAACAATCCCCGTTTATTCAATCTTTGGCTGTAAACTTTGCATAATAGTCTTTTGTCCTCTTTTCGTATAATTCCTGAGTGCATTCTGGTAATTCATCTTGAAATGTACCTAGAATCAAGCATCTTGTCTTAGCTATCATTGTGCCCACATGTCTCCTTCCTTTACCTGGTGATCCAGAGTACACCGAAAATGAAGGCACTACAGTATTAGGCGGGATCACAGTATTGTCGGTAATGCAACAGCAATCTTTGATGATGGCAAACCGGCCCTATATGAAATATAAGCAAACACTAGATCCCTTTTTACCCCCTTCTTCATATACAAACTTACAATGATGCAGTTTTTTCCTATGGTCACATACGAGCCGATGGTGGCAGCTTCAATGATGCTTCCCTCGCCAATAGTAACATGATCACCAATCTTCATAGGATAATAGCTGAAAATGCTGCAAACAAAGAGTACCATCAGTGTATGCCATTCAACCCCATAACGTCCATGTATGTATGTATATACCCTTTGTAAGTCTTGTAAGGTGGTCGTATAATAGATCCCTTGGAAAGAAGGCAATAGCGTCCAATAGCAACTACAACAGCATGGCCACCACCCGTCCGCCGAAGATCACCGCGAATCACACATTCGGTTTGTATAATAGTCTACTGAAAGACACAGCGTGAATGGACGTCCCATGACGAGAGTATACGTATACTGCTGACCTTGCCTCCAAGGATAATGTTTTGACTACCACAAATGACGGATGCGCGGGAAACCTTGTTGCCTGTATCCTAGGAAACCAACATGAGATGAAATAAAAGAGACAGAGACAGAGAGCTATGAGATTACCGTTTCAATGTATTCTGCACGGTTGTAGTACACGATGGGAGCGTCCATTCTGGAAAGGGACGTCTTTAAAGAAATAGCGGGTGGTGGGTGTCAAGCTCAAGATCATATGCAACTTCTCAGCCAGCTGTTTTCGGAGAGACGTTGCATGGAAGCAGCTCTGCTATACATAAGCATGTGCCGTAACTTGATTGTCTCTTACTTTTCATGCGCATTTTCTTTAAAAGGTGATCACAACAACAATGGGCTGAATAGTTCAATAAGCCATGGTATGTGCCAAATGACTGAAAGAATCAACATGAATCAAGATACGTATGTCAAAGAATGAATAAATGGATGGTCGTCACCACCTTATATATAAACGTGTTCTTTTATTGTAAGATGTCTTTTCGAAACGTCTATGGAATTCCAAAAAGTACATGCGTAGTAGTGATAGGTCGTGACAATGAAGTTGAAGGTGTAGATGCTCAATTGGTTCATCCTTTGCAGTGCCAGTAAATAAGGTCAAAGTCACCCACTCATCAACATGATCGGATAAGAGATTACAAGCAGCTGCATGTCGTCGTTGAAAGTCTGCTGTGTAAGTTGACAGACACCAATAGCACGTAACTCGATGCATTCGATATACCCCTTATCTACTTGCAATGATGGCATGGTAGCAATCATCATCATCCTTCTTTCAACAATGGCTTCGTGTTGCTCAAAAACCATTCCTCTTTTTGGTGTCTACTGAAGATGCCCCATTTGCCCATTACCTTTGATATGCGTATCCCCTCTAAACATTCCAACGTATAGTTTTCTAACATGCTGGCCTTTATTTTGGCGTACATATGAAGTTTTGAACAATAGTATATTCCGGGACGAGATAACGATGGAAGCACCACTTAGTGAGCCTTCTTGCCAGCAGCCACTAGAATAACGCAAAACAATACCGTGGTTAGCATACATGAATTCTCCCAATCCAACATTCGTATCTTTTTCATACGTACAAGCAGGGTTTCTGGGGTCGTTCTTGTATTCGTCGCCTAATTGAAAAAGAAAACACGAATGAATACGGGGTTGCTTTGGGTTGTTTTTCTTTTGGTCACTCCAACAAGAAGAAGAAGAGCGATGGCTTACTGTTAATCATGGCGGTTTGCATCTTGGCAACAAGGAAGAAGACGGTAAGACCACCAGCGATGAAAGGAGCAGCGGGACGGAGGAAGGGAGCGTTGAACTTGCGCATGCCAAACATTTTAGTAATGTAGTGAAAGAGGACAAGGACCCCTTTGCCAAGCAGAGTTTTTAGCAGGGGGCGCGCTCGTGACTGCGGTGTATAGACTTTAACCCACTATACTCTTTGCTGCGCTGGTGAACAATCCAACCCCTGCGTCGTCGTCGTCGACTTGAATTCCCGACGTGTCAATTAGCATAGTGCGTGGTACCCATTATCCAACAATGACATTTATCCTCTAATGAAAAAACCTATTGCTGTGTCTTTAATACGTACATGACATGCTTGTATCTATAACATGATCACTTTGATTCGCTGTCTCTTTTCTTTTGTCATCTATAATCATTGTTGCATCCTCGCTCTGCTTAAAGATACCCGCTTGCTGATTGTGCTATATAATTTCATCATGTCCCCTTATCGAAAGATCCAAGTTAACTATAACCTCGAACCCAGCAATCTATTACTCGCTCGCATCATTGCAACAGATTATTGTATTCTCGTATCCAAAACGCTTTTTTAGATATACATGATGTATTGGCTGATCTGTCATCCTGTTGTTATTCACGGCTTTGTGCACATCGAGATGCCACACGCGAGACAACGTTCGCTAAGCACAAAAGAACATCTTATGAGACATCACAGAATAGCACATGTGCTCGTGCTCCTAATTTCATTCCCATCACAATGGCCTTATAACCAGGTTTACAGGATATGATCCTATTCATACAATGATGATGAGACCGCTAATCACATGGTTTCTTTAATGACCTTGAAACTGTTTCCATTATACTATTTTTGCATTGTAGGCATCCACCAAGGTATGCATTGTCTATTGTATCACAGCAGCATATTGTTTGTTTGACTTAATTTGGCGAGGATGTATACATTTAAGTGCAGGTCCGAGACAAGCATTGTTGGAGATATTTCCCTCGCTTAATACTTTACTAATGAATATAAATATCATACTAGATGTGAATAGGTGGATGTATAACCAATCAACATGGATCCAAACAATCGCGCAAACGCTGGTATGAACCAAGGCATGGGCAATCTCAAGGAGACTGCCGGCAACATGATGGGCAGCCAAAAGATGCAAGGCGAAGGCCAAAGCCAGCGTCAAACCGGCAAGTTCCAAGAAATGGAAGCCAAGGCCAACGAAATGTGGCAAGATGCTAAGAACAAGGTCGGCGATGCCTTTAACATGGACAAGGGCAACCAAAACAATCGCTAGAGTTTATTTTGTATGAAATGAAATGTATCATTTGTCTAATTACGATTGCTGGAGCTATCAGTGTGGGGGTTGAGAAAAGTGGATGACGTCTTCTACTACATATGGGGTCAATGATGATGGCGATGATGTTCATTTAGTTGAAGGAGGAAGGGTCCCTGTTCTATCTCTCATCTTTTTATTTGTTTGTATTTGTTCTCTTACATTGGCTCCTTCTTGTACTCGCTGAGGTACTTATCGGCTTTGGGATATCACGTCAATGGGAATCAAATGTCAAATTTCACACATGATTGAGAGTCAGCGAAGCTCCTTTCCTCTTTGCATAACACCCAACAACCATGGGCCCAAAACCAGCTCTGAAAAAGAAACGACCTCCCACTTCCACCAACAACAACAACAACAACAACAATGCCAAAGAAAAGGTCATGAAGGAGAGTGTCCAGCATCGGGCGCGTATGCAGCAATTGGTGTTTTCCTGGCAAGAAAAGATCTTTTCAATTCCAAAGGCGCCATCCTCGTTGCTGCGACAAGCTGCAACGATCCTTCAACCACAAACGTACGATGAGATCGTTGAAGAACGTGCTGTACAAGATTGGTGTGGCTATCCTCTCTGCGACAATACGCCTCAAAAGGACCAACCTCGTTACCACATTTCACTCTCGAGACGCAAGGTGTTCGATCAGTCTGAATTGGCGTCGTTTTGTTCGGAGGCGTGCCTTCAACGAAGCAAGTACTTTCGCATGCAGCTCTCTGAAGACCCTGTGTGGGTACGTGATATGCAAGCTGTACCCAATGTACATATCATTCGGTTGGATCAAGATGTCAAGTAAGTTTTATTTTCATTGTGTTGTATTATCACGATTGGATAGCTAAAACGTGTTTTCATTGTACATAGAAAAGTATTGGCGAATGAGCAACAAAAGAACAATCAAACGAAGCATTCAGGACATGAGATACGACAAAGCTACGTGCAACAACTCTTGGCCAATGTACCAGCAGCAACAGCTGGAGGAGAACACACCGAGTTACGAATCGTGGAGCATGATGATGCGATTGTGATGGATTCTGAAACACCTATTTCAGGCGTACATGATGCAATTGAAGGTTATCGGATCGATGTAAAACGCAACAACCAGCAACCAACAACCATCATATTGCAGCAACAACAGCAAACAAAACAGCCACCTCGACAACAAGAAACTGTTGCCATGGACACCAAGGATGAAGAGACATTGCTGGAAGATGCTATGGATACAATGATGAAACTCAAGGATCTCAAATTGGATCAACCTACCGAGATTGAAAGAAATGCACCACAACCACCAAAGCCGCCATCATCATCATCGAGTCGACGTCCTTCTAAGCAAAAAGTACAACCATCACCTGTTGGAGCACCCTCCTCCTCATCAACTTCACCGAATACCAACGACACATCCTCTTCAACAAAGGAAAAGGTGATCAAGATGGTCGTACCCAAACCGCCTGTCAAGAAGAAAAAGGCTCAATTACCTGAAATGTCTCTCTTTGGCAAGATATGGACGATGACGGATCGATTAACCACCAAAGCGACGCGACGTTACTTTGATCAGTTGAGGCATACGGATACTGTGGATGTGAGGGAGATTTTGATCCAAGAACAGCAGCACGGACAAAATGATGAATCAGCATTGATGCGTGGCCAAATCTTTAGTGAAAAGATACTTGAAACGTAAGTTGAGGTAGATGGATGGGATATTCACGGATGAGGTTGTTCATGGACAAACCCCCTTTAGGTTTTCTGTTATACGTGCACAAATTGGATTCGAGAACAAGCTTGAGGATGATTTGATTGATCTGATACAAACGTTCAAATTCAATGACGCGTCCATGGTGGTACTGGATGGATCACAAGCTTACATGATGACATTGGTTTTGTTCAAGGCGTTGGCAGAGCTCACGATCAAGGATTATGATTGGCATCCAGGATTCGAGGCATGCTGCAGTGCTGTTGGCGAGACGAGTGACACCATCGATGCATGTGTCAGAGTATTGAAGATTGCGAGCACGTGAACCCACCCTATGTACATAGAATTTTTATTCCCGATTACGTTTTGCTGGAGATTGTAATTAAATAGAACCGAGCTGGTACTACAGCATTGTTTGGAAGAACGCATCACGCCTGTGTAACAACTCGTTGACATCGTGTGGCAATGACGCCATTGAGCTTTCGCTATTTCTCTCGCTTCTCTTTGATCTTAATGCATTCAACTTGAGTTATCACCCGAATTGCGTATACGCTACCCATTCATCGTTTTGCTCAATTTCCCTTATTCACACACAGAGTTTGATTGCTGTAGTAGCACAACAAAAGCAATATCCAACAATGAACAAGAGAACACGAAGAACTCTCCTTTTTGATAAGCATCTAAAGAAAGAGCCCATTACCACGTGTCTGATATGAAGAATGTATCTTGTCGAAAGCAGTATTTTGAGAAAAAAGGTTTGGGATTCCCCCCCCAACCCCCGCCATCTTGCTTTTATCACCTGATCAACATTCATTATGCGTTTCTGAACCTGCGTCTTACAACCACAATGGACATCATATAAAGAGCCAACCATTTTGAGCAGCAAGCGCCATTATGTACCATTCTAGGGTGTCCACATGTAAACATTGCTTCCCGCTACGTTTGCTTCTTTGCCGAAATAGTACAGTAAAATGACCACGACAAAGAGCACCAATCCCATACAATATATGAAATAGGTCATCACCACCACTTTCGCAAGGCTAACGATTGTGCTGCTTCTTCGTCCTCTTTTGGTGCCTCTAATAAGAATGTTCGATGGTGCATTGTTCAGAGTACAATATAGTAACTACTATGAGCGATGCCATAATCCATCGCCTTTTTCAGTGTATAAAAGACTTTGCTTGAAGAAGAATACAAAAACCTCCTTTCTACTATCATCCATACAATCTTTAATCACATTTCACTATCTCCCTGCTTCCATCATCATTCTGAAAATGGTTTATAATTGTGCACGAGGGTGTTTTGATAGAACCTATCATATGACAAGACATCAGTCCAAGTGCTTACTAACTTTTTTGGCCCAAGGAGGTATGCATCATGGTCATTTTTCGTGTTAGATTTTCACTAAAACAATTATATTCTAAAGCATGGCAAACATGGGTACACCGCAGTGTGCCGGGCGAAGACTATAAACATGGTGTCTTTCGTTGTCCTTGCGGCCTTTTCGCTGATGTTAATCCTACATCAGTACAAAGCCATGCACATACATGCCTTCTCGCCAATCCTAACAGGGAGAGACCACAACGTTTCACCAATCTCATCCAAAGCGCTGCCCGACGAATGGTACAATACGAAGATGATTTAGCTGATAGAGCGACTAGGGTTCACCAGCTCGTATTAGCTGATCCAATGATGTTGGAGCTTCCTATAGAGCTCATGGACGATGCTGAGGATAATGTTGCTGAAGCAGAAGCTGGTCCGAATGCTCAAGCTGGCTTTCAGCCAATCATTCTAGAACCTGTGGAAGGAACACCTGAGGAAGGAACACCTGTGGAAGGAACACCTGAGGAAGGAACACCTGTGGAAGGAACACCTGAAGAAGAATCACCTGAAGAAGAAACGCCTGAAGAAGAAACGCCTGAAGAAGAATCACCTGAAGAAGAATCACCTGAGGAGGAAGGACCTGAGGAGGAAGAAGGACCTGAGGAAGCACCACCGCCAGATCTAGACGACTTTGAACAATTCTTTAATCATGTCAGGCCGTTAAACAATGATATGAAGCTTTTGCTCGGATATCCTCATAGTCGACGCCACGAACGCTACTATCCAGATAGTATTAATCTATCTCAACGGTTAACTGAGTATTTGCTCAACCCCCACAAGCTGACCCATGCTGCTCCATTTCATTTGAAAGCGATCCAAGTCCTCATTGGTGATCTTGTAGAAGATACTAGAGTGGCGATTATTAATGCGCTTAGAAATTTGATTATGGAGACACCTCATCCATTTCCAGCAGGCCGGCATATTTCGATAAACTATGAAGTAATGGTGGATTTCCGTCGTGAGCCTCTCTTTGAGGTCGAAGTGATCCCGCGCAACACCAGCGTCGACAACTTAGCCAAAATGATCGCCACAACTGCCAGACTGGGCGTTCTCAATTATCCCGGTGTCCAGATCCAAATTGGCGAGGCTAACTTTCTTCCCAACAATCTTTTCTAATGCACCCAAAGAAAACTATTCTACCCTCCAAGAATTTACAGTCATCATTGTTACAATAAATCAAATCATTTGCTTTAATCACATACATTTTTACAGTATTGGTCTTTTGAGATTGTACGAATGATTTCTTCTTATTGGTGGGAAAATGATGGCGAAAGTATGGTTGGTGTATGTATGCAAGGTGGACTTGGTATTGTACCATACACTATATAGTAAAAAGGATGCTTGAGGCTTGGCCAAGAGCATCTTGTGTGAAAGTTTCAGGTTCGAGAGGGGCAATCTCAATATCAAGGATTGATGTACAGTGTTCATGCATTTGTATGGCAGTGTGTCTCACAGGCCAACCTACTTAAATTTCCACTCCTTCCACTCCCACAACTTCTTGTCTCTTCCTCCCATTCTCATCTGTTGACCCCATTCAAATACAACTACCAGCTTCGAACGATTGTCCTGCTTCAACCCATCATGTCAATCCTACAACTGCCTTGATCCGATTGCCTTTGACTGAATGAGAAGTCCATGGCGTGTACACCCCACTACAGCACCCGCGTTCCTTAACACTTCACCTTCTCTTGTTACACCCATCTACCACGATCAAACGTAACAGCATTCATTCCAGCAGTTGCTATTCGTTCCATTGTCTCAAGCAGTGTTCACAACCTTGTCACTCTACTACAACACACGCTCTTGCACGCTCCTCTTCCACGACCAAACGTAACAGCAGCTGCCATTCGCAAGGTCTCAAACAGCATCCTTTACTTGCAGCCTTTTTTACGTGAACAGCAGATGGCCATTGTATGGAGGCAGCTTTTTTACGTGTAGCAACTTGCTTTCAATACACATCGGCTCTTATGGATGATGCCATATCAATACGGCGCAATACAAGCAATCATCACCTTGTTGAGCTGCGATGGAAAAGGACCAAGAAAGGGATCGACCAATGGAGAAGGATCAGCAGCAATATTGGACTTGAAATGGTTATGATGGGTGGTTGCAATCAAGTGCAGCGATGAGAAAGGAATCCTGGAATGTTGCTTTGGTTACTCAGCTCGTCGTCAGCATGAAAAGATGGATCAAACATGTGGACACGGCTGAGGATGATGATGCATTGGATGGGATTGTCGAGAGGGCTTTTATCTTTGAGGAAAAGGTGCTTTACAACCATGGATGATATTGGTGTCCTCGAGACAATGCACCCAGCAGCTATTTTGCAACCATGGATGAAGGATGTTTATGATGGCAGCAGCCAAGAATACAACGACGCAGTTATCCCTGTTGACCCTTATTATATGATCCACCCGTATCTTATCCAATTTACAATGCTCTTCCTTTGTCGTCTTTACTTGATAAACACCCACACTACCGTATGCTACATATGCATCGACTTTTTTTATTGAATGAAGATTGAGTTCAACGCAATATTTAGAAGGGTATCGTACTACCAGCGTAAATGTGCAAGATGCGTGCGGATCACGTATTGGTTTCTGGATCGAAAGGGGGAACATGAATTTGAAGGTCGGGAAACGAGGTTGGATCATTTACATCATTGTATCGAGATGCTTTTGTTCTAGACGAATGCAGTGATAAGGTTTCTTGGACGTTTGTATTGAAAAGATAATAAACTCGAGAGTGATGATGGTCAATATTGTGTTTGTTATGTACATAAGTTTGGTGGTCCATTCGAAGCTTAATTCATCATGTTCAAGAAAGAGTGAGCTGTAACCTGTAATACAATGAGACACGGGTACATGAACATACCTATTTACCTATGACAATTTTCAGCCAGCCCTATCTTATGCAACCTTGAATAAGGACGAACCATCCCATACGGGCCATCATAGGCGGATCTCTCTGTGGGCAGGCAGGCGAAGGATCGATCATGCATTTCTCAACCAATAGGATTGCCCTCAAGTCCCGTCCCTCAACTTCGTTACACATGCAGGCCGTTCTGCATCTCTGGCACTATTATAGTCATACCACTTGACAATGAACAACAACAACCTTCCATATAACATCACGATTACAGCATATGTAAAACATAAAGGTGCCTGTATCTCCAAACTTTACAATGAAACGTGTGGTTTTGAATAGAGCAATGTGCTCGGCTTGGCCAACTGCACCTCGGGTGCAAGTTTCATGATCAAGCTTGCCAATCCCAGATTTCGCAATGTCGCTACCAGCCAAACTGGATCTGGGGGTCGACCTCTTCGTCGACGACGACCAAAAAATATTTTTTGGGCTGTTTGCGACATTGAACGCGAAACTTTCACACAAGGTGCTGTTGGCCAAGCCGAGCACATTGCTCTATTCAAAACCCCACGTTTCATTGTAAAGTTTGGAGATACAGGCACCTTTATGTTTGTAAGCGTGATGCTATACGAGAAGTGGTCTTTGTTTAATGTAAAGTATCTAGACCCTGGAGAGCCAAAGATGCAGAAGGACCTCTTTGGGTAAATCAGCTAAAAAGTCAGGACTTCAGGGACGACACATGACAGGTACGCAACCCTCACTTTTATGTCATACGTTGGCAGCTAATAGCCACTTTTGTGCATTCCCAACTTTTGTGCATTCTATTGTAGGTGGACGATGCTCCTGCTCTAGACATTCATTTCCATGATTAAAGTAGGTTGATCCGAGCTGATTTGGTTGAGTTACGCTCACACAAGGTTACATCGGTTGAGCTACATCGAGCGTGCTTTATGTCCAGAGTGATGTAATCTCTCTTTGACCGCAGCTCAGTCAAATCAGCTCGAATCAACCTACTTTAATCATGGAAATGAATGTCTAGAGCAGGGGCATCGTTCCCATACAGTGGATCTCGCAACAATGATGATTGGATAAAAGTGGCCGTTAGCTAGCAATACATGCCTGTTCCTAGATGATCCATAAAGTAATTATACATTGACCCTTTCATTCATGCAAACGTAGCTGTGTTACACAACACGACCCTCTGCATCTTTTGCTCTGTCAGGGTCTAGCTACTTGACAATGAACAAAGACCACTCTTTATATAGCATCACGCTTACAAACATAAAGGTGCCTGTATCTCCAAACGTTACGGTGAAATGTGGGGTTTTTATTAGAGCAATGAGCTCGGCTTGGCCAACAGCACCTTGTGTGAAAGTTTCACGATCAAGCTTGCCAATCCCATATTTCGCAATGTCGCTACCGGCCAAACTGGATCTGGGGGTCGACCTCTTCGACGACAACGACCAAAATTTTTTTGGGGCTAGTTGGGACATTGAACGTGAAACTTTCACACAAGGTGCTGTTGGCAAACCGGGCCATTGCTCTAATAAAAACCCCACATTTCATTGTAACGTTTGGAGATACAGGCACCTTTATGTTTACCTATGCTGTAAGCGTGATGGAGCTGCTTTTTCTAGTGGATGGTGTCGGCTGCATTAACGGAAAGATGAAGAGCTGCTGAGTGTAATGACACGTGGTAGTTACACGAGCGTCCTTGACAGATTGTTGCACAAATGGATCATGGTCATGTTTGCCTTGAGGAAGGTAAGTAAGTATACAACATCCAATAGTGAAGGTGCGTCAAGATTTGTGTATGGCAATAGTGGTGGCTCCATATCGCATTTGGATTCTGTGGAGTGTCGAGCTGAATAAAAAATGATGCGCACGGACCATGCTTGATGCCTTCACAGCCGGGTTAGAAAGTTACGAGGGGCATGCACAATGAAATAAAACAGATAGTGTATGGGTATGTGTTTGATTGGTAATGTAGAATTCACGTTGCCTCAAGCAGAGAACCACTCTTTATTCATGATGCATTCGTTGGATGGGCATTGCTATTTGAGAGCCACATACATAATGCTGGATCAACAATACCAGCAGTACACGATG